CCACTTGTCACTCCTCTCCAAGATGAGGAACCATTCACAAGCACTCTTTGGGTGCGATCTGTAGCAATCAGCCACATGTCTCATGAGGCTGTGTAGACTATACATATTGGAGTGGATCTTACCACTCCAATGAGCAAAGTTTGAAGCCTTTCTCCAACTTAAGTGGCTCTTCCATTGGAGGAGATCTCCGTGGACTGGAACATAGATCCACACCACTATATAATATGCCCTTGTTGAATGGTGGTCAGTTCTCCTAGAAGCGAGTCTTAGGCCTGGTCTACGTATGCAGCAGAATGAAGTGGCCAACTGCTGAAGTAGTAGACTAGGCAGTACCATTTGGGATTAAAGGGAAGGAATCATACCTTTCACCTGTCCCTTGCATTTATAATGCCCAATAAGTGGGAAAGCAGCATGGGTAAAACATTTATCTTTGATATGCTGTTTTTAATTTTAAGAGGAGCATTAAAAATGTGATTCCCCCCCCCCCACCTGCTGTTGTAAACAGTACCTTCAATCTATTCTACTGCTTCAGAATTCTGCCACCACATTATGCTGCATGTGTAGTCGTCCTTCAAGCTCCTCTCTCTATAGAGAAGGAGAGAACCTGGACAAATGTCATCTACAAGTTGACAATAGGACATTTCCCTTTTCTTCATGCATTTGCTTTGGGTGTTCTTTAAATTTGGGAAATACTTTCAATGACAGATCAAATGCTTTCAAACACTCACTAGAGCAAAGTAAACAAAAAAAAGCTGTGGAATTAGAAAAAAATATTCTTCATGATCTCTGCCCATCAGACAAATGAACTCAGCACCTACCCATCCTGAACTCTGAACCTTCTGTAGCTAAGCCTTTCAGCATGAAATCCTCTGTGTATCTCCTGGGGTTGGGGTCAGCTCTCTTACTTGGGACTTACCTGTAACTGATGTTTTTCAAGTGGTCATCTGTGCAGTCACACAACTGTCCTTTCTTTCCTGCAGCAGGCCCCTTTTTAACTTGTGTTGTTCTCTTTGAAAGAAATGAGGAGAAAGTGAAGACTGCTGCTCCTTAGGTATGTGCAGTGAGCATAGACTCAGAAAGGGAAAAAGATTTTGCACCAGGGAGGATAGCTGTAGAAGATTCAGAGTTCAGGCTGTGCACAGGCACAGAGCCTGTTGGTGTGCCTGCAGGTATTATCACACATAGAACATCATTACGGCTAAAGACTTGTGTTGTTTTTTCTTGCTTAGCATCCAAACAAGATTTTCAGAAGAACTAAATTACTCGGGTTTTTTTACTGTAGGCTGGAGGTCATGTTCATCGCCCATCAGATTCTGAAGGTCTAATAGCTCATACCAGTACCTCACCTCAACAAATACCAGAACAGCCAAACTTTGCAGATTTTAGCCAGTTTGAGGTTTTTGCTGCATCAGGTGTGAATGAAGAAGAGGATGAAGAAATTGAGAGAAACGCAGAAGCATTGCAAGTGAGTATAAGCATTGATATATGGCTCTTGAAATTATGTCCTTGCCTCTTATGTACTGTCTTGTATTGTTGAACCCTGTAGTTGCTGTTGACAGCCCTATAGGTCTTCTGTTTTCACTGGTCCATCAAAGTATTTTCCTATATAGCCCCTGGAAAGAACACTGACGGTATTAGTGATATTGTAATAGACACAGGCCAGGATCCAGAGAGTCACTTCAGGTAAGCCAAAGATATGCACATTGGGATAGTGGATTTCTTTTAGAAGCAGATCCCTGTGTTATATAGACTGTACCTGGAAAACCTCTACATTTCAAAAGCAGCTTGCCATGTGACATGGAGGCTATTTTAGAAGCAGAATCCCAGACTTCTTCAGATGTGTGGAATTAGTTGGATGGTACTTTGGATTCCAGTCCAGTAAATATTAAATGTTTCAAGCACAGCTTCTAATAGGTATTTTCACTCTTAACCAGGTGGCAACAAGATATTCTGTGATCAAACTATCCATTTGGAAATGCAACTTTCATCTGTATCTATACATTTTTTTTATGTCACCTGGTTAAGGGTATACAGTTATTTACAGTGACAATGAATAACTTTGTGATCTTATGGCTACTCTGTTTTCTAGATATTGTTCTGGGGATCAGGAGTGGTTGGTTCTGTAAAAGTGGCATCCTCTAGTAATAGTTGACAGTTACATATGCCTGACCACAAGCGCCCATTATCTAGGGCTGAACCACATTTGCAGACTTTTGTTTCTTGGCAGACACAATTTGAAGTGCTGGTTTTAACCCAAGTTCTAAGTGGACTGGGCCAAAGTATCTGAAAATGGGTTTATTCCTGTATGTATATGCCTGAGGATTGTCAGCTGCAGCCCAATTCTGGGTGTCCTAACCTTTGTAAGGTAGATGAGATGGTCCCAGTGAAAGAGTAGTGGAGCCTTAATTATGGAACATACCATATGGCCTTATCCTTAATGTTCCAAGTGAAAACCCTGTTCTCATTGTTGTAGAACTGTGGAAGGTTTGGGATTTTTACCTGTTGATTTAGTCTTTGTTTTGTGTTTTATTCTTGTATTGCTTTAATTTTATATGTAAGCTGCCTTGAAGGCAGGAATTGGACAGATGGACATTTTAAAAAATGTGACTGTTATCAGAACATAAGAATTGCCCTGCTGGATCAGACCATTGGTCCATCTAGTCCAGCATCATGTCTCACATAGTGGCTCACCAAATCCTCTGGACAGCCAACAACAGGACATAGAGGCTGATGCCTTCCCCTGATGGTGCCTTCTGGCTCTGGGATTCAGAGGCTTAGTGCCTCTGAATGTGGAAGTTCCCCTCAGTCACCATGGCTAGTAGCCAGTGATAAGACATATCTGATCCCCTTTTAAAGCTGTTTATTCCTGTGGCCACCATTACATCCTCTGGCAGCAATTCCAAATTTTAATCACTGTCTGTGTAAACAAGTTTTTCCTTTTGTCCGTCCTGAATCTAGTGCTCATTAGCTTCATTTGATGCCCCCGAGTCCTAGGATTTTGGGAGAGGGAAAAAATGTCTCTTTGTCAACTCTCTCCACCCCATCCATAATTATATAAATCTCTATCATGCCCTGCCCCCTTAGTTCTCTCGTCTAAACTGAAAAGTCCCAGACTCTTCAGACTTTCCTCATAGGGAAGATGCTTCAACCCCCTAATTGATTTGGTCATCCTCTTCTGTACTGCAATGTCCTTTTTGAGATATAGTGACCATAACTATACACCATATTCCAAATGGGGCCACACCATATTACAGTGGCATTATAATATCAGCTGTCTTATTTTTAATCTTAATAATTAATCACATAGAGTGTTCCTTTTTCAGTGCTGCAGCACACTGGGTTAACACATTCATTGAGGTATCCACTACGACCCCAAGATTTTTTTCCCCTCTCAGTCTCAGCAGGTTCAGACCCCCATAAGTGGCATTCATCTGCCACATTATCACCCACTCACCCAGTTTGTGGAGATCCTCTTGGAGCGCTTCACAATTAGCCTTGGTTTTCACCATCCTGAATAATTTGGTGCCATCTGCAAACTTGGCCACCACACTCCTCACCCCTAGTTCCAGATAATTTATGAATAAATAATACCGGCCCCAGTACCAATCCTTGTGGGACTCCACTGCTTACTTCCCTCCATTGTGAGAACTGTCCATTTATTTCTACTCTTTTCTTCCTCTCGTTTAACCACTTTGTAATCCATAAGAGAACCCATCTTCTTATCCCATGACTGCTAAATTTACTCAGGAGTTATGCTGCATACAAAATCCCAGAGAGAGAGAGAGAGAAGCTTCTTTGCAGCTTGAAAATGTTTTTGGCAGGATTACCAAGAGTCAGAAAGTGGCTTTAGGGTCATCACCCAATTGACCATTCCTATCCTACTGTCAAAGTAGAAGCACCCAACTAGTGATGGGAAGATTGCAGCAGCAGCCAGCTAGAGCAGACTTTCTTTATAATGCAACCTTTAAATAACCATGTGGTAGAACAGAAGAGCATTCTAATTGTTGCTAACAAAATGCTTGTCCCTGCATTTCTGCATTATTTCTCTTTGCAGGCAGAAAAACCCTCTGATTCTGCAGGAACTATTAGAGTTGCCAAGACTGATGGAAGATTAGAGGACAAGACAGCTTCTAGTGCCCCTGCAAATGCGGTATACAAAACAAATACGTTTATTGTGCCATGAGCCAGAGCTAATTTCATGATAAGATGCATGAAGTGTTCTACTCAGTGGTTAGAAGTGTTTAGATAGAGAGATAGATATACACATACAAGGTATAAACAGTGGCAGTGCTGATACATACTACAATGGGGAAACTTTACTGAAACCTGCCCTGCTTTTGGAACAATATAACATAGAAGCTGTTGTTTCATGTTGTCTCTCAGTCCGTGTTATACAGTGGGCTTCAGAAAAAATAATTTATAACAATATAACAAACAGTATGTCTCAATGCTGTGTATTTTTCTAGGGTAAAGGCACCACACCTCTAGCTCCACCACCAAAACCTATACGCAGAAGGCCAAAATCAGAGGATGAGCTAAGACCTGAAGCTGAGGAGCATACACAGAAAACAGGTGTCATAGCTGCTGTTCTTGCTTCACAGCCATCTATTCCTAGGTAACCCGAGATGTGTATAAGTACCTCTAATGGATATATTTGTTAATGAAAATGTCTTGGTATTATAGAAAGAAGTAGATGTCTATAATACTTGAATAATTGTACTGCTAAATAAGGAGAACAGACGAGATGGAATTCTAAGCACAATTACAATGGCTTTTTACTAAACACCAGTAAAATATAACTTTTTTAGTGTTAACACTCTGTAAATAGTCAATATTTTAAAAATCGCACTACATCAAATTTGAATAGTAGGTGTACAGCTTCTTCTATCACACTTTCCTTGTTACAAGAATGGCTGCATGCTTTCAGTGCATATGGGTTCACCAAGTAAACATTGTTTACAGAGAATCGGGCATTTTGAAATTATCAGCAGAAACCTAAAGGCGGTTAATCAGAGACTTTGATTTCTTTCTGTTTCACAAGGCTACATTTTAGTTGTTGTTACTTCCAAGCTAATCACATGCCTTCTTCCTATGGCTCCACAGAGAAGCATATGAAAAATACAATTGTTAAAGAACTATGAATTCTGAAAAATTCACAGAGTAAATAGATATGTATCTATTTCACATAATTGCATTCCAGCCCTTTGCTTTTCTCTGCATTGGACCTGGGTTGTTTTGGCAACCACCTTGGGTGTAAATTTGTAGTTGTCAATACAGAAAGTCATTTTTTTTTTATTGACAACGTAGTTCAGTACAATGCACTTGCGCTAGAAACATGCCATATGACACAAGTGTCTCAATATAAAAAACTGTACAATTCAGTGTATATTGTAGGGCTTTGACTTTTCAAAACCACTTTGAAACATAATAAATTTGCCAAGGCAGTTTGAGATGTCATTTGGAAAGTTTGCCTGCAGGCTGGCCATAGTAATCTGCAGTCAGCGGCCACTAACAGGAGAGGATGCCAAACATACTAAATGCATTCAACTAGAAAATGTTAGATGGCTAAGTAATGTAATAATAAACTGCTGTAATTTCAGAATACCTGCTTAATTCAGTTATTTGGAAATAAATTCAGACCTTTCTGATAACTGTTTTCTAATATGTCCCCTCAGATCAGTAGGAAAGGACAAGAAGGCAATTCAGGCATCAATCAGACGCAATAAGGAGACAAATACTGTTTTAGCCAGACTGAATAGTGAATTGCAGCAACAATTAAAGGTAAGTAATATTTTGGAAATATTTTAAGGGAACAAGAGATTACTTGGAAACCTTACAAACAAGCAGTTTTTCTTGATGCTAAACCAGTAGGGGTGGGGATAAGATTAATTATCATTGAAGGTTGAAATTATGAATGGTTTCTGAATGGGAAAACCCAGATTTCAACATGGATTGTATTTTTAGTCTTTGCCGGCTTTCTCATGTTCATTCTGCTGTTTCATGCAGTGTAGCTAAGCTTTTGCATTGGTCGGTGATGCACAAAGGCCTGCCACCAGCTATTTTAAATTTTTCTTTCCCCATGCATAGCATAGATTTTTTTTCTTTGCACTTGTGTTTAAATAAGTAGCAATATTAAAATGTAATAAGTTGTATATTTAAAAGATCTAGACTGAAATAGGAACTATGCATGATTAATGTTAATGCCTATAATTGTATCTTTTAAAATGTTCTGATTCTCACTCTAGAGTATAAAATAAAAATCTGTTCTTTCCAGGATGTTCTTGAAGAGAGAATTTCACTGGAGGTTCAACTGGAACAGCTTCGACCTTTCTCTCACTTATAAGCCGATTGCCATTAACTGTGAACTAATTAACTTTGAAAGGGGAAATTGGGTAAAAGGCCTAATTAAAGACCCATATGTTCAGCTCAGTGCACTCTAACATTCTGTGATTGTTTTGTCCTCTGTCCACAGTTGTATTTAAGTAACTTTTATAATTTTAATACAAAGAATTGGAATCAATGTTTCCTTGAATGTTCTATATATTGGCACTGCCATCCCTCCCATTTCTTGGGAACACACCTACAGTCTAAGTTGGAGCCAGGTTTTTACAGTTTCAGTGGCCTAAATCCCAAACTGGAATTCATTACCTAATGGATTTTTTTTGTATTTCACATCATGGAAAAAAAATATTCCAGGTATCCAAATGGATGCCTTTGTTACCAGTTACCTTAAATAAACACCAAAAGCACATTTTATTATGAATATGTGCTATATATCTTCCTTTTGACTGTGAAAGTGAGATTTACCTGCTGTCGTCATTGGTCAGTTTCTCATCACCATTTATTGTAACATTGCTTAACTATAATTTCAAACAGCCAGCCATTTTGGATAAACCAACTCCTTCAAGTGCCACACTCTTACATACTACTTTGCCATGCCAAATAGATTTGGTTATTCTTTTATGTTTAGGTATCTTGTACAACATGACCACAACTTCACAGTGGTTGTAATTCATGACCCTGATTTTGCAGCATGCACATACACAACCCTTTTGTGAAAGGAATAGGTGTTCTCTCAGTCAGGCATATTTCCAGAACACCTGTAGTTGATGATTTGCACATTGCCTTTTTTTTTTTAAACTGATACATTCACCAGACTCTCTTGTAAAAGAATTCATGGTCAAGAAATGTGTTAGCACTTCAATTTTTCTTTTCCTTCCCCTCAAGATATGTGGTTTAAGAGGTTTGGGCTACACTTTCTCCCCATGTCTCCAAGCCTTACTCTTCTGGCTTATAGACACGTTGCATTATTAACAGAAAGTTCCTTGACTGTATCCTGCTCTTCAGGTTGATGTACTGTATTAGGATTTGTTGTATATTGTATAATACACACCTTTTGATCTCATATGTAAATTTGCATTAATGCTGACTAACAGCAGATATACTATTTAATGGCTTATTCTGGCTGTGGGATCATAGATGTTAAACTGCATGAATGTATCTCAGCAGAATCAGAACTAGCAAGTGTGATTTTTACACCAATAAAACAGCACAATATTTTAACTTGGTGAATCCTTTCTAACTTACGCTTCATGTTACAGGAATATACTGCAATACAGTTATTCTGTGAAGTATTTGGTGGTAGGGGAACAGCTGCTTCAGAAATAGCTTGGTTACCATCTGTGTTCTGACTTTTCAGTATTGAAGAATGATCTTAGTATATCCTAGGAAACAGACCAGCAGCAATAGCTGGATGCAAACTGTGCTCTTTATTAGACAATAAACATGTAGTGTTTTACAAAGAGAGAACTAAGTGACACAATACACATACTTGACATATCAAGCGGAAAAGGTATAATTAAGAACCACTAAGTTTGGTAAGTGTATGGATTAATACATATTTCTGCATAGTGAGTGAAAGAAAGGAAATAGTACAGTAAACAGAGTACTGTTGATACTGAAATTCCATTCTGTTCATGTTATGTACAAGAAATGTGTATTCAACAGGGATACAGAGAAAGCCATGCAGAACTTGCTTGCCATAACACACACACCATTTGCTGGGGTAGGGCAGGAATGTGTAACCACTATGACTGTTTTTGGAAGGCACCATTGAAAGATACTGCCCCTTGTTCAGTACTGCTGGCACATTGAAGATTTGCTCCAGCATCATGTTAGGGATGAGGCCATCTTTCCAGCACTGACCCAAGGGTTGGTGTCAGCCTAGTATTTTAAAAGACTACTTCCCTGTTCTGTATTCGAAAAAGGAATGACCCTTTTTTTGGGTATTTCTTGGTATTTGTGTGTGTACCTGGAAGTCATGGTGACCTCTGGTGACTGAGGGCATGGAAGATATTCAGAGAGGTGGCTGAATAAAGCCTGCCCCTGCCGCCCAGCCAAGTACTTGCCAGAGTCGACCCTGCATAGCTTCCAAGATCAGGCTTGCCTGGGATATTCAGGTTGGCAAGGAATAACTGTTTTGAAAGGAAGTTTCAGTTTTTCCATGGGCAACTTTTAATATTGCAAATAGACTACCAAACTTTGTCATTTCATTCTACTTCTAGTTAATTAGTAAATCAAAAGTAGATTTGAGCAAAGGTTAATTGGAAATAGACTCATTTTCTGTGTTAAATTTAGTGAGCATGGAATTTCATTGCTGGTTATCGTAAACCTTATTAGATGCTTCCATTCTCTTCAATGTTACAGATAATTGCTCTTTGCAGTGCAGAAAGCCATGGGAACTTGTCAGCTTCCTCTGTAGAACAAATCAATTGAAGCCTTGGCCCTTGTAGAAGAAAAGCATTCTTTATATCTGTTAAATAAAAATGAGTGGGGGTTTTTTCAAGACAACTTACTGCAGTTATGCATGCAGTTTGCTCAAGGATAGTAATAGGGTGATGCCTCGAGATTTCCCTCTAGCCAAGGTAGAAATCAAATGTGTGGTTACAAGAAGCTTCTGAGTTTTCCTGTATTGCAGGTATTCTCTAACAACCCTGAATGTGTACCCATGGGTGCTATGGAACCCGCCAGTGTGTTCCCTGACATCTACTTTCTTCTCCCTAAAGAGCCAGCACTGGCTTGGAGTAGGAGGTGATTCAGAAGAGTACAGGAGGGTATAATCTTTGTGTGCGCAGGGAGCACTGATTTGGAACAGCAGTTTCCATCACAGGAGAATTGCTTAATTTAGAATCTCCTAACATGATGGGATTAGACCCAGGACCCTGGCAGCCATATTGTCGCCCCAGGTCTCAGAATTCTGAAGCTGTGCAAACTTTTATTAAGATTGTGGAGCCTTCCTACTGAGAAATACCTAAGATGATTATAAATACTTTAGCTTTTACAATAACACAGCTCTTCCATACTAGTACTAATTGTCCTTCATTTTCTTTGTCCTAGTCTTATCTCAGTAATGTATATTTCTTGCATTACTATTCTCCTGTGCAATACCTAGCGCCCTTAGTGCCATGTAAGTTATAAAAAACAGCAGTAATTCCTCTACAAAGGAATGAATCCTACCTAAATTTATTCTCATAATATGTACACCTGTCAGTTTGGATATATTTGGCTGTAAAAGATTTTACTCTGCCTCTTGGATTAAGAACACGACTCTGTTAGGTAGGCAACTTGTTTCTGGGGTCTACAGTTCTTGCCGTTCAAAAATCCTTTTCCATTGAACTACTGTGCAGCCATTTCTTGCACTTCTAGTTAGTAAACAAAGAACCCAGCTGGACCTATGTGTAAGTGTGTTATATTTCCTAGGGATGGGCACTTTCCAAATTTTGCCCCAAACCGAACTAAACCCATTTCCAGACCGGTCCGGATGCAGAAAAGACCCCCGGGGGTCCTGGGGACCCAAATTCTTAGCATAATCCTAGCTCACTCTCCTCAATGTGCCCACCAAGTTTGGTCCCTCTTAGACTACAGGCCCCCAAAGAGACAATGTTTTTCAATGTGTATGACCAAAACTGACTGGGGTGAGCTAGAGGCCTCCAACTTGCACAGCCCGTCCCTTGGGTGACCCTCCACGTGCCCCACATCATGTTCCTGTCGGGTCTGGGGGATACGAGTAGCAGACCGCCAAGACCAGTGCTCCCCCGGGAAACTGCTTCTGGAGGACTTGTGCAGTGATGGTTTCAGACAGTCCAGAGCAGAACTGGTTAAGCTACAGGCACCCAATTCCCAGAGGACCTCCCTAGGGACCACCTGCACGGTTGTGGGTGCCTCTGTCTTCCTGAGGCCAACCACCCAGCCCTTTGGACATGAGGACTGGTTGGGGCCCAGCCTCCCACCCTGCCCAAGAAGGTGACAGGGACAGCAGGTGCTCTTTCCCCAGGCTTATTTACCCTTAAAAGGCAATGGGATCACCGACCAGGGCAGAACTTCCCACCCAGCCTGGGGAACACCCACACAGGGACAGGTGGTGCTGTCTCCCTGGGCCCACCCTCTACCCACTGGCAAGGTGATTCCTGGGCAGGGCCGACCCCCGCCCTGCCCAGGGCCCGGCGAACACATGCACAGGGGAGGGTGGTTCTCTCTCCCCAGGCCCACTGTCCACCCATTTGTGGCAACATGATTCCCGGGAAGGGCTGAATCTCCTTCCCTCCCTGGGGCCTGGGAAATACCCACACAGAAATGGGTGGTGCTCTCTCCCTGGGCCCCACCCTCCACCCACAGGCAACATGGTTACTGGGCAGGGCCACCACCACACCACCCTCCCTGGGGGAACACCCGCATGTGGACAGGTGGCTCACTGTCCCCAGGCCCCACCCTTAAATGGCAAAGCAATAACTCGGTAGGGCTGAATCCCCTGCACAAGGGCGGGTGGTGTTCTCTCCCCGGGCCCCACCTTCCACCCACCAGCAATGTGACTACTGGACAGGGCTGAGCCGCCCCCTCCGCCCGGGGCCTGGGGAATACCCACATGGGGGCGGGTGGATCCAGGCCCACTGTCCACCCACTAGTGGCAAAGTGATTAGTGAGAAGGGCCAAACATTCCGTCCTCCCTGGGGCCCAGGGAACACTCCCTCCCTGGGCCCAATCTTCCACTCTGAAGGCAATGTGATTATTGGCTCACTGGCAAATCTCTCCCCGGGCCCCACCTTCCACCCACCAGCAATGTGACTACTGGACAGGGCTGAGCCGCCCCCTCCGCCTGGGGCCTGGGGAATACCCACATGGGGGCGAGTGGATCTTTCTTCCCAGGCCCACTGTCCACCCACTGGTGGCAAAGTGATTAGTGAGAAGGGCCAAACATCCCATCCTCCCTGGGCCCAACCCTCCACCCTGAAGGCAATGTGATTATTGGGCAGGGCAGAAACCCCTGCCCTGCCCAGGGAACACCTGCACAGAGATGGGTGGAGCTCTCTCCCCAGGCTCCACCCTCCACCCACCAGCAACGTGACTCTGGTCAGGGCTGAACCTGTACCCGAACGCTTCCGAGCTGAGCGCAAAAACGTGACCCTCGAGCCCTGTGAGAATTTCTAAACTATTTGGAAAATGCAGTAAAATTTTTCAAGCATATGTATTTCTTCTGAAGGCCACCAGTGTAAAGTGAAACAGAAGACCATCCCCATGGGTTTTTGATTCTTCACATTTGTTTTAAATCCCACACTCATGTGATCTGTTTTACATTCTAAGTCCTATTTAGGTTATTGCTCTGAGAACCATTTTTAAGGCAGCTACTGTTCCTGTGTAGCATCATTAATTTCTTTGGATTTTGAAATTCAACACAAGTTAATTGCGTTTTACATGCTTATAGCAGTTCAGGGCACAAAAAAAACATACATTTGGACTCTGGGATATCTTCAACAAAGAGTTGATGAAGTGCCACCATCGCCAAGAATTGGTGAGTCATCTTTGAGCTCCATTCAAAAGGCTTATGAGAGATGCTACGTTGAGAGATAACAAGTATATCGTTGAAAAGGAAAAGGCTAAGATCATAGATGTGTTCATAGAGCCTGTGAATATGAAAGCAAATAATTCATCTTCCAAACTATTTAAATACAATGGTATTAATACAAGGCTTCTGAGTAACTAGCCTAGGTATTCTGCAGTTGAGGTCTTATGAGTACTTTTTAAAACAGTGGAAAATAATAAAGACAAACATACAGTAAGAAAAAAACAGAAGCGCCGGAATAATAGGTTTCATCAAGGATGCTGCTATTTAAGATACTTCTCCCCAGTCGGTGCAGCTGTACTGACAGAGCAGTTTCACCCTTTCTCCTCACTGCAGCCCCTGAGGGCCGATACACATGAAGCTGCCTTAGAGCAAGTCAGACCATTGGTCTACCAAGGACAGTAGAGTCTATTTGTGGCTCTCAGGGGTCTTTCACATCACTGATTACTAGGTCATTTTAAGTGGAGAGGCCATGCATTGAACTTGGGGCCTTTTGCTTGCAACACAGATGCTGTGTTACTAAGCCATGGTTGTGCAGCCCCAGGAATAACCTGTCCAAGGGACTCCAGGGATGGGAATATACATGGCAATTTTTCAAAAGTAGTGTAAAAGAAATGAGTTTGAGGCTAAGGGCAGCTAAATGGCTTGTGATAAATAAACAGTCACCAGTCAGCCAAATGGATATTTCTGTTCTTTCCTTGAAAGAATTATCCTTGACTACTGACATAACTCTACAAATTCAAGCCAGAAATAGAGGATATATTGACTATAAAGTTGTTTTCTCCTGAATTACTCCATTCTAGATGTTTCTGAAATTGCGGCTAACTATTTAGCTGAAGTACTGCGGTGAGTGCTGCAGTGGCTCAAGTGGTTAAGACGCTGAATTTCCGACTGGAAGGTCGGTAGTTCAGCAGTTCAAGGCCTGAGTGCTGCATGATGGAGTGAGCTCCCGTCTCTGGTCCCAGCTCCTGCCAACCTAGCACTTCGAAAGCAAGAAAGTGGGAAGGTAACAGCATTCCGACTAGCGCCTCGGCGTCTAGTCATGCCGGCCAGTGCGGCCACATGACCACGGAAATGTCTTTGGAGAGTGCTGGCTCTTCGGCTTGAAAACAGAGATGAGCACACCAACCCTGGAGTTGGATTCGACTGGCTTTCGAGCAGGGGAAACCTTTACCTTTTACCTTTACCTTACTAAAATCCAAGACAATTCTGCATGATAAGACCTATTGATTTTCAGTTCTGTACCTGGCTGTAAAGTGGTTCTGTAGCTCTGTTATGCCAATAAAGGTATGTAATAATATATATTTTTTAAAAAACTATAAAGTTTAGACCCCAAATCTGGTTGTTCCTTTTTATGTTTACTAAAAGAAAATATGGTAGTCTTAAACATGAGATACCAAAAAACAGCATAAATGGCCGATAAATCACCAGGCACTGCAATGATCTTTGAAGCATTAATAGAGAATGTGGTCTTCGCCCATTTATCCTCATCAAGCAATGAAATTTAAAGAGAATGGAGAACATCAGAGCCCATCTATTACAAAATCAGAAGTTTGTGAATTGTATACCTCAGCTGAAAATCACATATAGATACTTTTTCATTTTTATTCTTCTACATCTGTGGGAATAGAAACTAACAATTTAACAAAAAAAACCCTAATCTGAACAACTCATCAAGAACACCAGCTTTCTGCAAAAAGGTTAAAGCCTTATAGAACTAGATCAGCAGCCACATTTGAATTTTCTTCCTTAATACCCCAACTAATACTTACATAGATCCATTTACCTGAATGGTGCACTGACTTTCTCAGAACAGCAGTATAGCTGGGCTACATCTTGTGTCCTAATTAGATACCTGTTGGCTTTCAATACGTTCTGCATGTTAAACAATAAAAGATAAATTATGAAAACCAAATCTGACACTCGGTGGTTGAGATCACACGGTTCATCATACAGTTCTAAGGTGCCCTGCTTAAACATCAACAAGAAGCATGTATGTTGGCATGAATTTTCATCTTTCCCTCTCACATACACAACCATCATTTTTTGCTCAGATATTTTTGGGTATACCCTTATGAGGGACAACAGCACATATCCCACGGCTCATTGCATAGAACTGCCACTGCCTTTAAACAAACTGTTCTTGGAAGGGCTGTCATTCTGAATAACAGTAGTGCGTTGTGTATTGTAAAAGAATAAAATAGGTGATCAGTGGATAGTATCCTAGCTTTTCTACTAGCTAAATGGGAAGGATGTCCTTTGGACCACCAAAAAGGCTGTGCTGTGGATTGTGGGACCTATGTGATCAAAACCACTTGGGACAGTAGCTACACTAAAGCAAGAGTTTGGAAGAGAACAAATGGAAATGCTAGTAGGATCCAACCCAGTAGTTTTTAAGCTTTCCAGAACTGTGACCCATTTCTAAATTGGGAGCAAATTTTAGTGCTTTATAAATGTTATTATACACATCTACACCTTCCCTTTGTAATATTAAACTGTTAGTATCCATGACTACCACCCTTGTACCATGCTGCCTTGTGTTAACATATGGCTATTTCCCTGTACTACTTTTTATTATGCTCTCAATATCGCTTTACACCAACAGGATACACTACAGTCCTACCCTTTATCACTATTATATTCTTTCTATTAACCAGTACTCCATCACTGTGAGTTGGGATTGCAACAAAGCGTTCACAGAGTGCACCTGCTGACACCAGTCTCTCCCCACAATCTCTAAGATCTCTGACGGGATGATGCTGTAGGTCATGGGACCCATATAGATAAAAGGCATGCAACCTGAGGACCTATGGTGAAATTGCTCCCACCTCAGTTGCACCAACAGAAGCTCCACTGCTGGAAGAGAAAGACAGGGTAAATGCTTGCCTAGTCCTGCTTGTCACTGTAATCCCCAAGGCTGCCTGGCTTTTTTCCACAAAGAGGCTGTGCTTCCCAATCATTTGTCTTTACACACAAAACGGCCACCACCATACATTTGTCAACTTAGAATCAACCATACCACAGAAGCATCTGCTTGTGTACTTCTCCTGGTGATACCACCTCGTGCCACATTAATTCCATCTTGATCATACACCTGAATGCATTTCCACTGCATTGCATTCTTATTTACAAAAGGTGAGTACTTACAGGACATCCCTGGATGAGTCTTTGTGTAGTTAACAGCTGATCATCCCTGCCCACATTCTTCTTTAGCTATAGGTTTAAAACAGTGCACATAAGAGTGCAAGTTTCCCAGAATGACAAAAGCATATCGTAGCCCTGACCTGGATAGCCCAAGCAACCCCGATCTCATCAGATCTCAGAAGCTAAGCAAGGCCGACCCTGGCAAGTATTTGGATGGGAGACCTCCAAAGAATACCAGAGCTGGAAGGCAGAGGCAGGCTATCAAGCCACTTCTCTGAACATCCTCTGTGCCCCAGTAGGTGTCGCCAGAGGTCGCTATGACTTCCCGACATGGACACACACACACTACAAAAATACCCCCAAGAGCATATCTTTATCCACAGACCATTCAAGAAACATGTTCTTGGGAGTAAGCAGGATTCAGAGTAGACCTGCTTAAGACTTCTCTTCATTTATCAATTTTAAAGGATTAACGTAATTGTTTGTAGGTACTTTTTAAAGAGATTATGTTTAAATTGAAACATAGGGAAATTTTATTCAAGGTTTTAACATAATCTGTGTCAGTGACACATCTCTCAACTAAATTTGAAGGTGTTCAGGCTGTGCTGTCTCCTGCAACTATCTTTGGGTTCATGTGGGGAGCTGCATGTTTTGTTTGAAAATACTTCTTTGTAAAATGCAGACTCCATGTAAAAACTCATTCTATGAGAGAGAGGTTGCTTCTCTCTGTAGTGATAAGATTTGATAATGAGCAAGAGTTTTATGTAGAGGAGGAGAAGAAGAGATTGTATTTATACCCCACCCTTCACTACCTGAAGGAGTCTCAGAGCGGCTTACAATCTCCTTTCCTTTCCCTTCCCCTCCCCACAAAAGACACCCTGTGAGGTAGGTGGGGCTGAGAGAGCTCTCTCCAGGACTGCCCTTGAGAGAACAGCTCTGAAAGAGCTTATGAATGATCCAAGGTCACACCAGAAGCTGCATGTGGAGGAATGGGGAATCAAAGCTGGTTCTCCCAGATTAGAGTCCGCGCTTAACCAGTACACCAAACTGGCTGAGTGACTGATTTAGCTGACATCCCATGTGAAAACTGACGTGCTAGAACTGCATAGCTACTATCTCAGCAACTGAACATATACATTTTCTTGAAATCATGCCCAATTGACAAAAGTGTGTCCCTGAACTTTCAGCACAGAAATCCACAGCTTTGACTCATAACAGGTACACTTCTGTAAAACAAACAGTGACGACATGGAATGACAGCTGTTTTCTAATTCACCTAGTGCTGGATCCTGCCACTGAGTCTTCCTCTAGCAAAAAAAATCCTGTAACAAAAAAAGACTTTCCATGCCAGAAAATGCCATTTTCCTTTAAAGGAAGGCTCAGCAGAAAGGATCCAGCCCACTGTTTCCAGTACAGGAGCCTTAGTGATCCATGCAACTTTGTCATATTGAAAGGAACAGATGACAGACCTGATCTATGTAATCTGTGTATCGATGCATTTGCTTAATTGCAGAAGTCAAGTCTTCACGGTCAGTGTGTTCTGTTGGAGTGTGAAGCTTCAAAGCATACAGGAGCACAATGTACTCTTCAAACCTCTTAGATGGGCACAGCAGAAGTTCCTGTAGGCTACATCACTCATACATAAATCATGCTTTAAGTACAAATGTGGCAGATTCATATTCTATCTACTCTAGCATTTCTTGTTGGGTATGGACTTGGACATTCCACTTGCATTCCTTTTTGTCCAGTGTGGAGGTGGTTCTCTGCTGCAGAGTGCTTTCTCTGGTGCTAGGCACTTCTTGGATCCTTGAGCAACATTGGGTCTTTCAGAAGTACCTAATACCAGAGGAATACCAGTGGATGAACACAAGTGGAAACAAGGTATAGGATCCAAGCCCGTACTCTTTAGGTGGGCTAGGCAGATGAGTCCTTGCTTAGATTAACTTGCAAGCACCATTTTGATGTGCATTGAACAGCAAAGCAGTATCGCTGAAAGCCCTAATTTTAAACAGGGCAAGCTATATCTTGTCGTTCTACTTATTTATGATCAATATACCACATCCCCCCCAGGGCCATTTGTCCAACAGAGGAACCCACTCCTGAAATCATGTTGGGCAGTGTTCTTGAAACTGGGCAGAATATTTCAAGTTTCTTCACAAGGAAGAAGCACAGCATTGCTCTACTGTCAACCACGACCATATTGTGAACAATGTGCAATGTTAAAGGACCTCAGCATAGAACTTGAGAGCTGTCTACACGAGTCTACAAGTCATGAGCTAAATGAATGATGCCTGGTTAGCTCAACACGTACCTCGGTAGACTTGTGTGGACAGTTCTCACGTTCTATGCTGAGGTCCTGTCTATGGTCTGTTGTTATATCTATGTATTTATGCTTAGCTAAAGCTTTTATTAATGCTGGATTTTAATTAATTTTTATTATTTTTAAGCCACCTGGACCAGGTTCCTGGAATAAATAAATATGAGGGCACAAAAGAACAAAACTTTGGGTAGGTCTTACTTTGTGACTCCCAATGAATGATGTTGCTGCAAAAACAAGCCAGAGTTGTGTTCCAGTCAGAGGTCATTTCGGGGGGAACGCGGGGGATCGCAGTTCCCCTGGGTGAGGTACGGGGGCCGGGCACATGACAAAGCCCCACCCCCTGCTTCTGGCCACCCCGCTTCCGGCCCTCATTCAGCCAGGAGGAGGCAGGAGAAGAGGGAGGGTAAGTTGATTCCTTCCTGCCTCTCCCCACCTCTGCCTGCCTGGGGCCAGGGAGGGCCTTCGCGGGGCTTCCTTGCACTCCCGCCGGCCTTGCAGGTCCACCGCCGGCGGCCGGGACTGTTGGGGGCGGGGTGTGTAGCCTTATGACACACTTCCGGTGATGTCAGGGGGTGTGGCCTTATGACACACTTCCGGTGATGTCAGGGGGTGTGGCCTTATGACACACTTCCGGTGATGTCAGGGGGTGTGGCATATGCTAATGAGTTATGCTAATGAGTTCCCCTAGCTCTTTTTCTACGAAATGACCCCTGGTTCCAGTGCTATCTGCACACCTTTAAAAACAGACATACATATTCTGGATAAAGTGGGGAAAAAATTCTGCAAATATATTGCTAGCTATCCATTTACTATTTCGGTTATATAAGTAACTGTTTGAGAGGGCAAGCAACCGGACTAAGGTGTCTGCCATAAAGGAGGGTTCAGTTTCCCTCCCCAACTACCCTTTACATAGCATAGATTTCAAGCCTCAAGCTGTAGGTCTCTAGGGAGCCAGCCCAGCATGTGTATTAAGTAGTCTATAGGCAGCCTGGTCTGATTTCCAGGGTTTTGTTTTCATGTTTTGGCGGTATACTTTCCCCCCCTTTGTATGCTACCTCCTCATGCCAGTTATAACAGTCTTATCATGCCTCTTCAGGAAAGCGCGGAATAGTGGAATTGTCTCCCTGCACTGCAAAAGAAAGACATTAGGAAGTCAACATTGCACCATTGCCCTTTTGGAGATGTTAGTCTTTTCATCACTTTAAGCTGTTTTTCCTCCTAAGGAGCCAAGACGTTAGCGCTTTTCAGTTTCGCTAATAAGAGTAGATTGTCTGAGCCTCTAAACCCTGATCAATTTAGTGTCTCCTCCTACACAGCACAAAACGTTCCGTCTCCCGTGGAGGAAAATTTACAAATGCTAAGACTTGGTGATACATTTTTAAAACACATTTAAAGGCATTATGTTGACACTAATATTCTGTTTTCCCACCAGCACCATGTTTCCAGTCTGTGTCTGCAATAGGTTTCCAGAAATACTGGAATGTTTTCATAGAAAAGAAAAATTCCTACATCAAACAGGTGTATTTCTACAAAAGGAAACTGAACTGGGAGTAGGCCTTCATACTGAGCCATTATGAGAACACCATTCATATTTCTTCATTCATTCAAAAATGTTGTAGGCAAGTTAATTGATAAGAGATAATTTTGTAATCCATGCAGACTCTCATGCCCTGTAAAAAGCCTCCTCCGGAGTCCTGGACTTTCAGAAGTACTTTGTGAGGGGAAGGGGGAAGCTAGAAAAGCCATGTCAAGCAGAATCGTCCCACTGTTTCCTCATAATCCTGGCCATTTCTTTAAGTGTTCAGGAAAATTCCAAAGAAGCAAAAAAGTGTATATGCCAATAAATAAAAATCTTGAGCCACTGACCATTCATGTTATAAGCCATTTGGTAAGTGGGAATATAAACCACATTAATTTGGAGGGAGTCGTTTTAATTTCAAAATACAGGACTCACAGGAATAAAGAAGTCCCCGCTCCCTCGCTACTCTCTTGAGTCCTGCGAGGGTAAGGCTTCCAGCCAGTCCCATAGGTAACTTACCTGGTCAATTGTTTTCAGAATTACTGCATAATTGTTGTAGAAGTTTGTGTATGTTTGAAAGTGCTGGCAAAATTTGATGAATATGTCTCCTACGTTTTGGGCTGGACTCCATTCCTTAAGTCTTTGTGTTAGCGCTGCCAAAAACCATCTGCATTTGAAAAGAAATAAGGGTGTTTCTCAGTACCTGGCTCTAGGCAAGTGTCAATAGATGATAACAATTTTGCATATTTAAGAACACAGTGTCTTCTCATCTGAAGGTAGTGATCTCATCTGAAGGCATGTAGTGATCATGAACATGGTACCTATGGATTCATCTGAAGGCATGAAGGTAGTGATCATGAACATGGTACCTATGGAGGCCATGCTGCTTGCCTGTGTGTTTTCTAGCCTCCACGTGCTTCTTCTCCAAAGCAAAGGGCCAACACTGCCTTTTCTCCACAGCACTGCAGCAGGGTGTGCTGCAAAAGACCTCAGGAGACATAATCTTTCAGACTGCATAGCGTATGCATTTTGGAAATAGCTGCCACCCTATGACAGCCAGCAAAGTCAGCAGCAGCCAAATTCCATCTATGCTAAGTAAGCTCAATAGTCACAGGATAAAAGGACGAGTCCTTTTGTGGATCAAAAACTGGCTGATTAATAGGAAAGAGAGAGTGAGTATAAATGGGCAATTTTCTCAGTGGAGGGTGGTAAGCAGTGGAGTACCGCAGGGATCAGTACTCGGTCCAATGCCTTTTAACTTATTTATTAATGATTTGGAGTTGGGAGTAAGCAGTGAAGTGGCTAAATTTGTGGATGACACGAAGTTGTTCAGGATGGTGACAACTAGGGAGGATTGCGGGGCACTCCAAAGGGATCTGTCAAGGATGGGTGAGTGGGCGTGAACATGGCAAATGGGGTTCCATGTGGCCAATTGTAAAGTGATGCAGATTGGAGCAAAAAATCCTAACTATAAATACACGTTGATGGGGTCTGAACTGGCAGAGACTGACCAAGAGAGAGATCTTTTGCAGTCCATAGTTCAAAAGAATCTATTCTTCGGCGCTCAGCTTTCCTTATAGTCCAACTCTCGCAGCCATCCTGCATAAATCAGTTTGCTCTGGAGCCATCCTTCCTGAGCTAAGACAAAAACCTGTGAGCCGGAGGCTTAAAAACTGTGAGCTAGCTCACACTAACTCAGCTTAGAGGGAATGCTGGCAAGGGGCTTTCATGGCAAACGAGAAGCAGAGGTGGTTTGCCGTTGCCTTCCTTGGCGGTCTCCCTTCCAAGTGCTGATCGTGCTTAGCTTCCGAGATCTGATGGGCTCTGTCATGCTATCTTCCCTCCTCTGAGCCCAAAGAGGCTCTGCTTTATAATTTAATGAACATTTACCACAGCGGCTGTGTGGCTGCAGGGAACCGGAGTTACCCAGACCCAACTCTTTAAAAGAGTGAACACCTATGTAATTATTTCATGTTTTGGTGTGTGTGTTTCTTTAAATGTTTAGTGTGATTGCAGTATTGTAAAGAGAGTGATAGAGGGAGGTGAGTGTGATGTGATTGGCTGATGACTGAGAGTGTGGAAAGAGAGATGTCTATGACAGTGGTGGCGAACCTATGGCACGGGGGCCAGAGGTGGCACTCAGAGTCCTCTCTGTGGGCACACATGCTATCGCCCCAGCCAGGCCCAGACCATCATTAAAGTGTCGAATTCTCTGCCAAATAATTTTAAGTAAATGAAAGCATTTGGGATTGCTTTCCTTACGATGTTTGGATAATCTTAAATTAATATATGAGTTGTTTTTTCTAAAGTAAAACCTCAGCACTTTGCGATAAATAAGTGGGTTTTGGGTCGCAGTTTGGGCACTCGGTCTCTAAAAGGTTCGCCATCACTGCCCTAGAATTACATCTCATCTCCAGACTACAGAGATTACTTCACCCTGGAGAAAAAGGATGCTTTGGAGGATGGACTCTCGAGCGTTGTACCCCACTGAGTTCCCTGTCCTCCCCAGGCTCCATCCCCAAACCTCCAGGAGTTTCCCAACCTGGAGCTGGCAACCCACCCCCCACATCCACCAGCGGTGGCCAGGGGAAACCTGGCAGTCCTTTTTCATAGAGTACACAATGTAATACACAATGTAGTCTCCTTTCTTACAAAGACTGTTTAAGTTTAGTTACTGCTTTAGTATTGCTCTAGTGACAGTTGTTTTTGTTCTACTTGTGTGAAAATTAGAATTTAAGGGCCAAACCAGATGTTTTGTGCATAGCAGGGATACACATAGCAGGAGTTGCACACGGAAGTAGAAATCAGACTCATTTCTAAATGAACATTTTTCCTCAAAAAATTGCTCCCCCATCTGTTTTTTTCTCATAGGTAAAAAAGAAACAATTTTAAGAAGAAAATCAGGTAGATAATAGAGTCAAGAAGCCGTTTCCACCACCCCACTGAAAGAGACAGGTTTTTTAAAAGTGTTGTAAAAGTACTAAGTTTTGGTTGTGTATTATTCTTTTTGATTCTCAATATTCAGCTTAGCAAGAAGTTCTTTATATTACAGGTACATGAACTGTTCTTCCCCTTGATTACAAGACACATTTAACGGGACGTTTCACTGAACCCAAGTAAAAGGAGGTAGGTTTGAAGCCTTAGTGAATTTGTATCCATTCCTAAGGTACTTCAGAACCATCTCTAGAAAGTACCTATTGAGTTGCAAGATGTCCATAATATCAGAGAAGATTATCTGAACATTAGCGTGGCTTAGGATGGGTCGATTGGATGCTAATGCTGCTTTCAATGGCTTGGTGTAAACATCTCTTATAATTTCTAATACACGGACATAAGTGTTCTCACTGATCAGGAGTTCTCTGACAAGTGTTTCTCGCTTCTCTTGTGTGTTCTCCTGATGTTTCCCATTCTGCAAGACAAACCATTTGAGAAACCAGTCAACGTTTCTGTTTTCATAGTTTTTGCATCAGCCGCCTCGGATATTAATGGCTTTGCGATGGGACTCAGGATGTTATTTGAAAAAGATACTATATTATTTTCATTAATCATTTCTAGCTGTTCTGAACTTTCATAATTAGGCCAAGTTTATCATCTAAATAAGCAAACTAAGATAAAGAATGAAATGCCAAAGAATGGGAAGATGATAGCTGAGGTTTTGCCTCAAAATAGGGGGAAAGCCCCTTTTAACATACCATGTAGGTTGCAGTTAAGATTCCACTTTGTCTACAAAGGGCTGTCTCTTACTGGGGTGTAACCTATGACTCTATTTCACTGTTAGCAACCCTTTTCCATAAGGTGTCTTGTGTTTATGTATTGGAGCAAATTGTTGCTGTTAGAGGAACAGAGTCATAGGATCCAACTACAGATGCACAGTTAATTTGACAACTGACAACTGCTACACAGTTAATCTGACAACACATCTAATCTGAAGCCGTTACTGAAAACAATTTTATTATGGAGATACACTTATGAAAAACATTTAATATAGCAAGAGGTTTTATAGGATTGGCCTTATTCCATCTTGGCTGTTAGTTTCCCCCTTATGGAATAGAGAGGTAGAGTGAAATATAGACCTGGACCACTGACTATTGTGTTAATTTATACATTACTCATCTCATTAGAACAAAACTTGTGTCCAGTGGCACCTTTAAGACCAATGAAGTTTTATTCCGGGTTGTTGTTTTTTTGCCACTGGAACTAAGTTTGAAGGAAGGTTGTTTTATTGAAAAATACTGATTAAAAGCAAGGCATACACACAAAACAATTAAATTACACACATATAAGGCTATAGAGAAATAGAGGAGCTTAGAGAAATGGAGGGAGTTGTGAGGCAATATTTACCAGATCCAGATGTGCAAAACTCCAATGCTGGAAGACTGCAAACAACTAGCATATCATGAACAAAGGGGGCCCAGACTGTGCGTTTGGGGGTGCCACTCTACTAGGTGCCCAAAAGCGACACACCAAGCCAAGGCTGGGCAGCCGTTTTTATAGATTATAGAAGGTATCCTGAGGGGCAGAGCTATGGGTTTTGGAACCAAAAGGTTTCTGATCTTTGATTATGGGTTTCCCATACCTTAAACAAAAGGTGTGATGGCACCCTATTGAGTACATCCTAGAGATGCTTGGAGTGTTGATGGCTGATACTATCTGATACATCTAATAACCCGGGAGAATTGCTCAGGAAGAGGACAATAAACCTGTTCCCCATAGAAATGTTTACATTTAAAAGGAAGTATGGCCTAGGATGGGATCTATAAGGACAGATGTAGGTGTTTTTGTAGAGAAATGTACTTGCATGAGAGAGAGACAACAGGTGCTTTTTCAGAGGAGATCTCCATATCAGGGACATGCTGGAATGCAGAGAACATTGATCGTTACCTGCTGTGAAGGCAGATTGCATATAGACAGGACACATGTTCTGTTTCCACTTCCTCCAGGGCCCATGTTTAGGCAAGCTCCTATGTTCATATGTGTGTCTGTTTCCCTTCTTAGGACTGACCACAGACTCAGGAGCAATGCCTTCTGAGGGACCCTGGGCTAGTTTAGGGGTGAGGGTGCCTGTGACAGGCTGCCCTCTGATGTAGGGTATACAGGTGGGGTTACAATTTTATTCTGCTGCTTCAGACTAACATGGCTACCCCACCTGAATCTACCATCTCATTAGATTTAGAGAATGAACACACCTTTGAATCTGCCTTACACTGAGTCAGACCACTGCTCTATCAAGGTCAGTATTGTCTAATGTCCAAGGTCTCAGACAGAGGTCTTTGAAATCAGCTTCTACTCTATCCTTTTAACTGGAGATATTGAGAGTTGAACCTTTTGCATGCACAGCACATGTTGTACCGCTAAGCCACAGCCCTTCCCCTCTTATGGAATAGAGTGAAATATAGACCTGGACCACTGAAGTGTTACTGTATCACTACTCTCTGATTAAACTGCCCCAACCTTGCCTGAGAATTATACAACACTTGGCGTAAGGTCCATTGTGGAAGAAATACAACAAGCTCTAGAAGGAAGCTCCAGGTGAGTGTCCCGGCTGTGGCTGGTGGGGTGGCAGGGGAAAATAGAGGGAGGCAAGCCATGTTTATTTCATTCTGCTTAGCTATAAGGCAGGGCTGTCTCAAGTCATTTTGCTGCCCCAAGTGGGTAGTATGGGAGGACAACCTCATGGTAACAGGTATGGTTCCCTCCACCCATGACTTATGTTGACTTGGGGTTATGCAGTGGCAGCTAAGGTAGAAAAGCACCTCCTCCTATGTTATGTCTTCTGGGTTCCAAGGGTCTGGAAAGCTGTTCCATAGCCACTTACAGGGTTGCCAACTCTGGGTTGGGAAATACCTGTAGATTTGAGGAGTAGAGCCTGGGGAGGGCAGGATTTGGGTGCAGAGGGACCTCATCAGGGTATAATTACATAGAGTCCATTGCCCAAAGCAGCCATTCTCTCCAGGAGAACTGATCTTGGAGATCTCCAGGTGCTGCCTGGAGGCTGGCAATACTAAGGGGAGGGCCAAACCTGTAGATTTGAGGGGTAGAGTTTGAGGAGGGCAGGGTTTGGGGTGCGGAGGGACTTCAGCAGGGCATAATGCCATAGAGTCCACTGCCCAAAGCAGCCATTATAATAGCTGGGAAATTGTCTGTAGGGGAAATGATGTGCTGTGGCTGGGGAACACACTGATTTCTGGGAGATCTCCAGGCCCCACAGGGAGATTGGCAACTCCAGTGACCATTTAAGGGAAGATTGGGATATGTATTTTGGCAACTCCAGTGACCGTTTAAGGGAAAATTGGGATGTGTATTTTACCTCAGGACACATTCAACAGCAACAGCAAACTAGGCCAATCAGGCCACTTATGCAAATGACCTCTGTGTTCTGACTGGCTATTGGGGGGAGAGGAACAGCAAACTGTTTAGAATATTGGAGACGAGACTCAGGCAACGCAGGCAGTGGATAGGGACAGCTTCTGAGTGACAGATCAGGGAGCCAACTGATTTGGGAGCATGTGGAATGTTCAGGAAAGTCCATGACCAAAACAGAATTATTATATATAGAGATAATGAAATGAGGAGATGTCAAATAACTACAGTGGTTGCTTAGGCCAGTAAATTGCTGAGAGTACCTTAACTGATGCTCCAACACTTGCTTCTGGATTATATTCAGTCAAAAAAACTTGGCTTCTGAGCTCCTTGTTTTTACTATGTTTCTTTAACAGGAAATGTGATAAAAATTCCAAAGGGTTTTCCTAAGAAACCATAAAAATAATTATTCAGAATAAAACATGTATCATTCCTTTTCCGAGTGCAGACAATTACTATCTCGTCCAATGGGAGATCTATTGTAGACTGCAATCAGACTAGTTCTCTAATTCCAGTTACAGCTGGATAAGACCCAGTCCCATGGGAACAGAGAGTACACAAGAACAGTATTTTATTTGATGATCTGGTTAAGTTTACAGTCTATAAATACTGCAATGACCCATACATGTGTGGCTGCTAAATATTGTTTTGTATAAAGAATTATTCTGTACAAATGTCTCCGTATTGGTATCAAAGTTTAAAATTAAGTCCTCATGTGGATTGCTCCTTCTCGTAACTTCACATGCTTGTCCTGGTAGCTGTAGAAACAAGGACCATTAGCATGGAAGAGTTCAGGGAAATCCATGTTGGGAGGGTTTTTTAACGTTATGCCCCATAAAAAAGACATCAGCAATCTGAAGTGTTTCAGCTGGCCTCCCACTCTTTCACATAAAGACGTTCATACAAGAAGGATATATACAGAAGCATTTTTAATGGCTGCCCCACAAGAATGGTACCCTTGCTCAATGGGGGCTTGCTGATACTCATTGTTTTTATATCAGAAAACTCTGTTACTGATGTTATTTTTGCAGCATTATACAAACAAAAGGCTGCACTTTGACACCTTTGAACATTCCATTTCTAAGCAACAGCACAAGAAAATGTCACACTTGTTTGCTTCCCAAAAATTCAATTTGTACTTAGAGACATTCCCCCACGTGCCATATCTTATACCTTCAGAGAAGTATGGGTACGCTGGCTAATCATAGGTCAGAGATGTTTCAATGACAAAATTCACCCTTCCCACTCATCTTAAGATCCTTTAAATTGGGTCTGTTGCATCTATTCATGATTCTTCATATTTTTAACTAGTTGCTTTGCATATTGGAATGAAAGCCAGGACACCAGGACCCAATGGGTCCTGTTTGCGGAGCCGTGGGGAAGGGTGAGAGCAGGGAGCAGCCATGGATCTCCCTCCCCTCCTTTGCCAGGTGGAGGGGGCAGGCCTGAGCCAAGCATGGGAAGCTGGAGCCCACCTGATCCGGTGCTGACCCTATGAGCTGTCTTGGAGAGGACTCGGGGGGGGGGACCTGATGGCTATTTAGGGCACCACGCTGCCTTGACTCACCATCTTTAGCCATTGGACAGCTTGGCCCACCTTCCCAGCCCTTTAGCTAGGTATTTTGCAGGGGTTGCATGCGGTTCTGTATACTTGATTTCTTGTTGCAACTTGATGGTGCTGGATCCATTCTCAGGAAAAACAGCCTGCGTGCCCATTTGTTGAGTGTGGGGATCCCTTTAAGGGGTCTTGGCATGAGGGGCGACTGATACACCCAGCTCAGGGGCATGTCTGGGGAATCACCTTCATGCCCAGGTGGCAGAGGAGACCACTTATGGGTTTCTGCCCTGGTGGGATCCAAAACCTGCCATCCCAAGGTGACCAACGGAGCATCAACTGATGGGTAGATCAATTGATGAGCAGGATCCTTACCCCATGCTGTGCCAAGGCTTACTACAGCTGTAAGCAATAAAGTTGTGGCCAATTTTATTCCACTCTTTCTGAATAATGTGTACGTCTGTGTTATTTCAACTGGAAAAAACTTTAAATTAGACTAGAATTTATGGGTTTTAGCAGAACTTTTGACCTGGGTGCTCACCTCGGCCCTTCACCTTGGTGCTGGTGCCATAAACACACAATATATATTAAATAGAATGAACACAGCACAACAGACTCCAGGGGAAGGGAAACTGTTGTTGTTTTTTTAAAGCCCCACTACAGGTCAGAGAGTATAGAAATTCTATTTAAAAACACAACAGACTTAGCTTACATAGTTTCCTCTTGAGAGTTCAGTTAATCCATCAGTCAAAGCCATAGCTATTGCCTGGTTGTCTTGAACTTCAGACCAGCTCATGGCATCAAATACAATCTGACCTGCACATATGGTGAATATTATATTAGTCATACAACAAAGGAGGGATTCAATGGATGGTCAATACTCCTCCGGCTTCTCTAAACTATCTTCTGCGATGTGTAAGGCCATCATACTTTTCTTTCCAGCTATCCATCACTTCCAAAGCTATCAGCTACCTCCCCAAAAGTATTACAGTAATGGACCTGCGCCTGACACTGGACCTAACAAGTAAGATGTAACTGAATGAGGGCAAATTTGATTACCTCTTTTTATGAAGCTATCTAATTAGGTCATAAGTCACTGCTGAAGAGCTGAAGTCAACTCAGGAGCAGTGTTCCCTCTAAGGTGAGTTAGTGTGAGCTAGCTCACAGTTTTTTAGCCTCTGGCTCACACATTTTTGTCTTAGCTCAGGAAGGATGGCTCTAGAGCAAACTAATTTATGCGGTAGCCAAATCGCTTGATCATAACTTTAATGCCAGTAGCTAACAAAGTAGAATTTTTGCTCACAGTTTAGAGGGAGCATTGCTCAGGAGCCCCATCTCTTCTCTCCTAAGAGGTTCATGAATCTTCTTGATGGGCCTAAATGCTTTAAGGAATACAGTCACGCAACAAGTAACCTATTTGGCCACCAGATATCAATAGTTTGTGTATTGTACCATATTTCAGTGGATAAAACAGATAGCAGGAAAAAGAAGAGTTGGTTTTTATACCCTGCTTTTCTCTACCCTAAGGAGTCTCAAAGTGGCTTACACTTTCCTTCCCTTCCTCTCCCCACAACAGGCACCTTGTGAGGCAGGTGGGGCTGAGAGAGTTCTGAGGGAACTGTGACTGACCCTAGGTCACCCAACTGGCTGCGTGTGGAGGAGGAGTGGGGAATCAAACCCAGCTCTCCTGATTAGAGTCTGTTGCTCTTAACCACTATGCTACACTGGCACACAGACTAATATCTGGGGTGGGGGGAGGCTTGTCAAGAGTTGCTATTATTATATGAAACAAAAACAATTTTAGGCTTATTGAGGGCTGGTTTACTCAATCCCAAAATCTTTTTTTTATCCAATACATCCAGGTGGACACACATTCATGTGAAAAATGCAATATGCAAAGAGAATTCAGACATCACTCATGCCACTTTTAATGTAAATATGAGGAGAAAATTATAGTCCTCCTTGCAGATGTAGATCCATATGTTACATGGCAGCCCTATATGTTCTGGCTGCCAGGAAAATCCATGCAATAGTCTGACACTTAAATCTTGTAGTGGTTGTAGATTTTCTGGGTTGTATGGCCGTGGTCTTGTAGCTTTGTAATCTGTTTTAACTGTGTGACATCTTACCTTGACATTTTTATTTTTCCTGTGTTTCATCTATGTTTTATTTAGACCAACTTTGTAATGGCAGTTGCTCACACACAATAAACATTTATTATGAGTGCCGCATGATGGAGTGAGCTCCTGTCTCTGGTTCCAGCTCCTGCCAACCTAGCAGTTCGAAAGCAAGAAATTGCAAGTAGATAAATAGGTACCACTTCGGTGGGAAGGTAACAGCGTTCCGTGCACCTCGGCATTAGTCATGCCGGCCACATGACCACGGAAATGTCTTTGGACAGCGCTGGCTCTTCGGCTTGGAAACGGAGATGAGCACCGCAACCCTAGAGTCGGATTCGACTGGCTTTCGAGCGAGGGAAACCTTTACCTTTACCTTACTACTATAAGTATGTAATTTTATATTTGACAATGCATGCATATATACTCAGTATGCATATTTGAAAATAAAAATAAGGCAAGAATACAGACATTACAAATGTATGGAGCCCGTTGCAGAATAGTGTTTAGAATGCTGAATCAGGATCCAGGACACAAGGGTTCAAACCCCCATCCAGCCACAAAGCACTTTGGCCAGCCAGTCTCACTGATCTATTTTACAGGGCTGTTGTAGGGTTGCCAGCCCCCAGTGGGGCCTGGAGATCGCCCACTTTTACATCTGATCTCCAGACGACAGAGATCAGGTCCCCTGGAGAAAATGGTTGCTTTGGAGGGTAGACTCAATGGCATTGCACCACGCTGAGACCCCTCTCCAGGCTCCACTCCCAAGATCTCCAGGCATTTCCCAACTCAGAGCTGGCAACCCTAGGCTGTTGTGAGGATGAAATGGGGAAGGGAAAACTCAGATCTATCACTCTAACCTTCTCAGTGAAAGGGAGGGATAAAATGTACTCAGTACATTTCCAGGGACTGGAACTAACCTTCAACTACCTCATAAAAATCTACATTTCAGAAATACTGTACAAGTGTTCTGTGTTAAAAGTTGTTCTGAAGGTAAAAAGTGAGCAGTTACCAATAATCTTGCCAGTCATTTTCTTCTGCAAATCATACAAGTATGGTCTCAGCTGTTTCCTGACAGTCTTCAGTGTATCTTCTAAGAGTTCTGTCAGTCTCAGCCACATCTGCAACTTTGCTTCAGTGAAGTACAGAGAAGGTGGAGGGTTGTCTCTGTCATTTCCCAACCATTCACTGAGGACTATTAATGACATAGCAAAGGAATTTTCTCTTGGATTATTCTGCCAATCAGTTTCAGATACTTCTTCTCACTAGCAAATATAAGTTCAACTAAAACATCCATAATATCATAAGCAAGTGAGCCTTTGTGTCCAATATCGTGAAGTGCAAAACTCAGTCCAAAAATAAATGTATAAACTACAATAGCATAATAAATGCCTAAGGAGTTTATCAGACAGTTTAAGTAACAGCTAGCTGTGTCATTGTATGAATCAAAAAAACACTAGAATAGCTGCATAGAAAAGTGTCGGATGAGTGTTTGCTTCTGTCTTTTCTGTTTAAACCTTTATTTGGACTCCCAGGCCTTGTTCTACACATGTAACATTACAGGGAGGAAAAGTGCTTCAAAACGTACTCAGTTGTCTCTGAAAACGACAATTCCTACATATCAAGCAGTATTATTATTTGAGCAAGGAGCCATAACAAGATGGTGTAATAGGATTCATTTAGATGTGTTTGGTCCAAGGATTTAATCTGGAATGGGTATTACACACTCCTCCCCAACTGACCGCTGCTTCCCTCACCAACAAAGAAGTCACCTGGATTACCTCCTTTTGAAATGTAGTATCTCCCCCACTGTTACCTCTAAGCTGAGTTAGTGCGAGCTAGCTCACAGTTTTTTAGCCTCCGGCTGACACGTTTTTGTCTTCGCTCAGGAAGTACGCCTCCAGAGCAAACTCACTGATGCAGCAGCCAAATCGCTCGCTCACAGCTTTCATGCTGGTAGCTCACAAAGTAGAATTTTTGCTCATGAGACTCCACAGCTTAGAGGGAGCATTGATCTCCCCCCACCTCTTAGAAGAATCCCATTAGAAAAAATGATTGCAGCAATATCCAAAGAATGCGTGGGACATCTTAGATTGGTCATGTGTTTAACTCGGTCCTTTCTATTTTGATTGGCAGCAGCTCTCCATAATTTTAAACAAAGGACTTTCCGTGTCTTGCAACTTTCAGAGTGGCCCCTGTTTCCCAAGGCCAGCATCGTGCTGGGGGTGGGTGGGGCGGAAAGTATAGTAAGGGTGCTTACAGACTGCTGCGGCAGCTATAGTAAGCGAGAGAATCCAAATATAGCTGATTTTTAATATGCTTTGAAATTAGGCATTTCACATGAACTCTCCAAGTAGATGTTATTAAAACAATTCTGAACTGCCTTTCGGGAAACCCTTGCGCTGTTCTTCCACTTACTGTGCTGATATGATCCGGTTGCTATGCCTGTGGGAGTTCTGAAGAATGCTCCAGTTAGACCAGACAGCTGGGAAAGAAGCTCCTTTCCTGCCTCTGGACAAATTAAAGAATGTACTTTACAGTGTAATAATGAGACATCACTAAAAAACAGCAAACGGTAAGGATTTTCACTATGGCAGTGGCCACATTTACCTACATTGTGTTAAAAATCTGGGAAAACTTTTTTTTCTAAATCAGTAATCCCTAGGAAATTTGATCTTGCCCTGTGTATTTGAAGGGAGAAGGCCTCTGGGGGTACAACTTATTAATTGTTCACAGTCATCCCCTCTCATCCTCTTACAGTAATGTGATCGACATTCATGAAATGGTGAAGGCATTATGGCCCAGTAGTAATAAAAACATCAGAACTGCTGTGTAGACAATAAAGGCATGGGGCAATAAAAGCTCTAGGTGAGGATATCTTATAATGAAAGGGAGAAGACAATGTCTGATCTACAAAGGAGGAGAGAAGTGAGGTCAGCACCTTCTCTCCTGTTAAGTGCCATTCCTTGTCTGTCTCCAGATTGCTACTCTTAGGGCCAGGGGTCATTTCCTGCAGGAGCACACAGGAGCGGAGCTCTGGCAGTACAGAGCCCAGGGGGTGGGCACATGCAACAAGCCCCGCCCCCTGCTCCCAGCAGCCCTCAGTCAGAGCAAGAAGCAGTCAGGTAAGTTGCAGAGGCCCCCCCCAGCCCACCTTCCTTGGCCCACACCAAGGCGCAGGGCCCAGGGAAGGCCTCCGGGGCGCCCCACCCCGCCTACCCCGCAGCATATGCAACTAAGTTATGCTAATGAGTTATGCTAATGAGCTCCTGCACCTCTTTTTCTATGAAATGACCCCTGCTTAGGGCAATTTCCTCCTTCTTGGAAGTTCCACACTTCGTCTACCCTCTCAGCTGGAGATGCAATTAGAAAACTTCTCTGTCTCTTCTGTTTCCTGTCAAGTATATTAGTTCCTAAATAAACCTTTATCTACGCTTAATCAGGTTGTGCACCATTGCTGTGCTAATTACTCTGCCAACAGGGAGGAAAGGGAGAAACAGGGGAGCTGATTTGAGAATTTCCTATGCCAGTGATGATTTTTAGAAACAGTAAAGGAAGATATATCAACTGTGCTCCTGATTTTGGGGACTTAGGAGCCTGTTCTGACCATAGGGCTGCATTCAGACTTCACATGGTTAAGTAAAAACTGCACAGCCCAGCCTGGTTGCCTGAATTGTATGCCTCACTTTTCTCCCTTCCCTTCTCATGCAGAGAATTGTGGTTAAAAAGGAGCTCTGGTTATCTGTGACATAAGAATGTAGGAGCAGGTTAAGCAGAATTTGTTTTCTCTCCCACTAAGAAGTGGGTTGGACCTGACCTGGATGGCCCAGGCAAGCTAGGAGCCTGTTCTGACCATAGGGCTGCATTCAGACTTCACATGGTTAAGTAAAAACTGCACAGCCCAGCCTGGTTGCCTGAATTGTATGCCTCACTTTTCTCCCTTCCCTTCTCATGCAGAGAATTGTGGTTAAAAAGGAGCTCTGGTTATCTGTGACATAAGAATGTAGGAGCAGGTTAATCAGAATTTGTTTCCTCTCCCACTAAGCAGTGGGTTGGACCTGATCTGGATGGCCCAGGCAAGCCTGATCTTGTCAGATCTTGGCAGCTGAGCAGGGTCAGCCCCGGTATAGTATTTGGGTGAGAAACCACCACAGAAGGGCAGGCTTGCTTTACAGAGGCAGGCAGTGGCAAACCACCTGTGAACATCTCTTGCCTTGAACACCCCATGGGGTCGCCATAAATTGGCTGTGTGACCTGATGGCAGTTTTCACCAAAAAGCAGGATCCTGTCTGGTTATGTTAAGCCACGGGCCTTCATTCCTGTGTTGCTGGGAGCCCCAGTTACCTTTTAACCACTATTCTCTGCATAAGAAGAAAGGGAGAAAGGATCGAGAAGTGCACATCAGTCTGGAAACAAGCCTGGGGTATGCACATGGTTACTTAGCTGTACTTAAGTGCAACATCTGATTGCAACCTAGTCGAACCATGACTAAGGCTTTACAATGGAATGAGTTGCTATAATGGTGGAATAACAAATGCACGTACTGGTATGGTGAAAACATCATGCATGAGCAAAGATATTTATCTTTTGACACCAATGGTTAATAGGAAAAATCATCTGAAGGAAAAGATTCTATTTTTCATTGCCAGCTGATGATCATCTCAGAAGGCCTGAGGTTACCAGAGATTCAAAGAGCTCTAGGCTGGTCTTGGCTTTGCTGGAAAAGATACCAAGATCTTATTTCTCCGATATAGACAAGAAAGTGGTAATAGTATAATATATAGTTTGTATCAACCTCTCTTCGTAAAGCCGATATCTTCACAATAAACTTGTTTCAAGGCCCAACCAGGTCAGTGGATTGGACCTATTGTAGGCAAAGCAACAATGACTAGTCATTGCAGCAGACGTTAAAACAGAACTGACCTGATGCTGCAAGAGGAAGAAAAATGTCTACATATCCACCTTCTTGTTGAGAGGTGATACAGCTTCCTAACTTCTTCCAGAATTCTCTCACCTCAGGATTAAGAAGGTCCTTCATGCTGATTCGACAGCCTAAATAAAATTAAACACGTCAGCTAGGAGAGCCACACTAGTAGATCCATGATGGGAACATGCCTTCTTCTGACTGAAAGAAACTCTGAGGAGAAGTAAGGGACAGTGGTTCCCAGGCAAGAAGCCTTGGGGACAGGGGTTGCACCAAAATTGTTGTTGTTGTTTCCAATTAAAAGAAGCCACAAGAGGCTTGAGTTTATGTGGAACAACAGCAGGTGAGGGGCCACTTGAACTTTCCCCCTCTACTTGTTTTCACCTTCAAATCACCCAGCTCCTTTAATTTAATTTATGTTATTTATAGTCCACCTTTCTCAATGGGACTCAAGGTGGATTACACAGAGTGAGTCAGTACAATCAACAAAATGGGACATTCAGTAAACAATGAAATAGGATTTGGGTTGCAGAACCAAACAGAGTTGAAGCAAGGCATAAGTATTAAATGATGCAAAACCACACAGTAGGATCCAAACCACAGCAAACGATACACAGTAGTACAGACCAGAGTCCCCAATAATGTATGCAAGTACTTTTGTGATGCCAGAAAAGAGGCATCTTTTCAGCTGCTGATGAGAAAGCAGTTGGGGGGGGGGAGACGGCAAAAAAAAACAAAGTGCCAAAGGGGAAAATCAAACAAGGTCACCTTCTTCTTTCCCACCTCCACTCATCTTTGCACCCTCCATAACAGCTTTTAATTTTTCAAAAAAAGCACTTCCGAGATTATTGCATCCACCTCCTGTATAATTTTTAATTTAGCCCTTAGGTTATTCTGATGGAGCCCCACATGACCCTGGAACAATAAGAACAATTCAAGTATTGTGGGGATGAAAAATTTCAAAGAAATTGGAGGGTTCCAGGAAAATAAAACACAGGGCTTGATGGCTTTCATCTAGCTATGGAAGCTCAGATTTAACAAAAGCATGCCAATATAATCTCAGCTTCTTAGATTCTGAGACGCAAAAGTAGAGCTTTATTTCTGGGGGGGAACACACAGGAATAGAGTTCTGGAACCTCTTTGAGAAAACTATTTTTTAAATGTTTAAAAGTTCATGAGTTTTCAGTATACATACTGAAAATGTCATTTCCTTCTTGAGAGTTCTGGCACCTCTTTGAAATAAGAAAAGAAAAAGCCAACCCTTGCGCAAAAGGATTTAGCCTTACCAACAGCAGGCTTGGATCCAGCCAAATCTTTCAGTGAGTGGAAGGATTTTCACATGTGGAGTGTGACTTTCTCACCATTCCCCAAAATGCTGTTCTTGGGGGTATCCGAAGTGGGAAAGTTGAGGCAAGAAAATAATGCCCCACAGGTGGAAAGATTTCTGCCAACAGAAACATTCAGCTGAACTCAAGCCATAGCGTTAACTGCACAGATATCTTTCAGCACCAGTTGAAAATTCTAGTCTTCTGTCTTCTGAAGAAAACTGTCACTGGCTGCGGTATCCGGCCCGTGTGACCGGGGCCACTGTTAAACTTGCCCTGCACACTTAACTGGAAAAGAGATGAATCAGAAAAACAGGCAGGTCTGTTCTAGTACATTTTTATCCCTCCTTTTCTCTCAGGAATGTACATAGATCCCCCCACCCTTATTTTACCTTTACAATCATTGCAAGGTACAAGGGAAAGCAACTAGCCCCTGCGTTAGTAATTCCATGGCTTCACAGCCAAGAGAGGGTTTGAACCTACATGTCCCTGATCCTTAGCTGACCGCTATGCTACACAGGGTCTCTTGCTCCATTCTGCAAGCAAGATTAGAGTCCTGAAGACAGACGCTTGATACAAGAATCAAAAGTTGCAATTCACATTCATCTCTGTGAAACATTTGCTATTGAATGGTAATAATGAATTATTACTTAAAAGCGTCTTGCTATTTCAAGTTGAACCCTACCTCGAAGTAAGTTAATCCCTCTGGAATCTCCATCACTAACAATCCCGATACTCTTTGCTGTTCGGCTATCCAGCTCTTTTTCTACATAATAAAAGAGGCTTTCCAAAGTTGTGCCACAATGTTCATATACAACAGGGATTACTCCAGGCTTAACACTATCCACAATCATCTGAAATAAAACACAGTAAAGAGAAGCCAACATTGAATGGAAAAGTAGCTGCACGATTTGCAAAACAAGAGACTAAATTCTTGCAATGCAATATGTCCAAAACCTTCTGCAAGTAGTTATAATTTATTTGTTCATCAAGCTTTTATTTTATGACTAAAAATGAAAGGAGTTTCAACTACAATGATAATATGAATAATTTGGAACTACACTAGATTGCGAAGTCATAATTTTACTTCAATATATAATTTTAAAATGAATATAATGTACATTAGAAAGTTTTTTAACAGATAATTATAAAATTCACTCAAGGAAATGCTTAAGAATCTCCAGCAGCCCTTTATTTTGGGAAGAAAATGCTGACAGCTAATAATGTGTATATATGCCACGTCACACATCTGTCAGTACATTCAAGAGTTTCCAGCATACACAGATAACATTTCTGCCTTCTGCGCACTGATTTTCCCAGTTCAGGAAGTTCACATGGAGCCAGAATTAATGTAATTAAACCTGTATCTATTTCCAGCACAATCTTAAAAATTGCCACAGAATTGTACTGAGTTATGGCCAGGATTGACTCAAACCTGGGCCATATTGTGTGATAATCTGTGCCCCAACCCCAGGGTAGCATATGACTCTTTCTTTGGAAAGGAGATCAAGCTATCAGCATATGGGTGTGTATATATATTTCTTGTTTACAGAAATATAAATTCCTTATCATCTACCAAACATCCTAGTGCCATCCTTTAATGGTCATGTAAATAATTTACACTCATAAGTAACAGTGGAGAATGTGATTTTTATTCCACTGTAGATCTCTTGGCGATGGAATGCGAACACATCTGTCTCAGTCACATGCTCAGACATTTTCTGAAACCCTATTTCTCTTCATAAATTTTAGGAAACTTTATAGATATTGGTGTGGATCCAAACTTCCTTTTCCGCTTGTGGAAGACACTTCTGCTTCCAGAAGGAGGCCTCATTTTCAGTGATTTTCTTCTCCCATAGCAGTACCCTGCTTTGCCCCTATGCTGTTCCAAGGGGTCCCACTAATCCCCATCTCCCTGGGCATGATTGTGATCCATCCCACTGGCTTGGCATTGCATCATTACATGCAGTGCCAGAGATCTGTACAAGGAAATTATATGCTTGCCACAATGGGCAAGATTGTGGGAAGAAAGGATGTATATGACTCATAAGGTGGAGTTCAATGATAGGTTCCTTGTTCCCCCTCTTCTCTCTCCCCCAATTCTTCAGCCAACCAAGTGGGGAGTGCTAGCACTGGGCAAGCAGGCGGGGCGGGAAGGCCTGGAAAGTGAGGACTTCTCCTGTCCCATTGTTTTGTATTACTGTCCCATTTTATCGTTTGTGGATTGAATCCAATAGTACCCTTCTGCTAAGTAAGCAATTTTCCACTATAGGAAGGAGTCCTTCCATTCTCCCTCCAGCAGAAGATTCCCTCCTGAGTGAAAAGAATCACTGGATCCAATCCATAACACTTAAGTAACTACATGACTGGAAAATCTGTATTCTCCTTCCACACTTTCATATCGCCCCATTTATTTTTGGTCTCATAAACCGTTCTGTTGTTCAATTTCCTAACTAATTCATTTATCTCTTCCCTATAAAGAGAAAAAGACGAGACTTCATATAATGGTTATACCTCATAAGCTGGAACTTGGGAAGATATCAAGACCAGGTGTGGCTGAAGAAGATGTGCCATATTGACATATCTTTGGGAAACAGTCAGACAATGTTTGTGAGGTAAGACTGGGTAACTGTCACTCCCGGCAACATTCTTTCTAAATGAAAATGAAAAATTGAGGATTGAAATGAAGTGCAAATTTATAGTTGCCAGATTATCCTTTCATATTGGTTAAAGAGAAAAGAGAGCAACATAAGGATGGATCCTAAACTACCATACATTTTAAAAGTACTTAAATGCATAGTGATTATTATTAAAAAGCTTCTACACATGATTTGGGGACATTTATTCATTACTCTCTCACATGTTCTACTCATTACCCCTTAAACTGAAACAGTGTTCATTAATATTTCCTTATTCAGGCTATGCACAAAGTTCCATGTAAAAATCCCATTTATGATTGCACCAACAGCCTATTGCCGAATGATTTAGTACTACATATTATGTGTGATGTTGGCTTATTTGTAGCTTGAATCAGCTTCAAATTATTGCATTTGTCCTCCTCCTAAACGTAGTGAATCTTGTGGAGTTCTCTCTCCTACAAGCCATCAGCAGACATTTATTTGCCAAGCAATCACATAGAGTCTTTAAATACAGTTGTATTTAAGCATCGATGCTGTGTGTGTCCGGATCTGTGGATTGGAACATGACTCCCAACACTGGCACACATACAGAATTAAAACTCACCAGCTTCATAAAGAAGAAAGGAGAGTTGTTGTGGACAAAAGTTCCCAAATATTCATGCTTCTCTGCAACTTCTGTTTTGGTGCTAAACCTCTGATACTGGGAGACAAGTGTCCCTGGCTCTGTTCTTATAGATTCTCTTCGGTGGAACTCCATGCTTCCTTTCCAGACATCTTGTGTCCTCTAGTGAGGCTTTCTCCAGACTGTGAACTGCTGGCTTAACCACCAGTTTGGACACCTACATTTCTGAAAATGGTGCCTTCAGGCTCCTATTGGCCAAATCCTGCTTGTGGATTTTCCGAAGACAAATTGGCCATGGTGTATACTAGGATGTTGAACCAAGGGTTCTTCCTTCGTTGTGCCCATTTTGGTTACAAACTATTAATACTTTCCCCAAGATACTTTCCAGCTGAGTACGATGTAAGTTACATTGTAAGTTACTTTATACATGGGTTTATTTTTAAAATATTTTGTATTTTTTCATAATAAGGGGAATCTCTCCTAATATATAAAAGAGTTTTGGTGTCCCTCCTGCACACGCTCCCGCAGCCTTTCGCTCTCACACCTGCCACTCTGAAGGATCCCCTGGCTGCATTGGCTGGCTCCCTTGCCTCTGTTCCGCCCACAGAGGTGGCGAGGCAGCCGGCAGCATCTCTGGCTCACTGTGCTCTGAGCTACCTGAGGGGACGGGCACTCCAGCAGCCAGAGGATGAGCAGGCCCATTGGGGGAGGCGGAGAAGAGGTGCAAGAGCCCACACGTGTTCAGAAAAGCCACAGTAGAGGCGGGGGCAGGGCAGCGACTGCTGCTGTGGCAAGAGGCCGCCCCTCTGCTGGCAGCCCTGTCATCGTCGTCTGGGGCAGCCGAGGCACCTCTGACGCCACCACCAGTGCCACCGCTGAACAAACCAAGAGCTCTCCCTGATGTGGGCCTGCCATCGCACCAAGATCCTCCTCCTGTCCGACCCCGGGAGCTGGGATGCAGGCGCCAGCGGAGCGGCTGTGCTCTACCCACCGCTGGGTCCAGGGGACAAGGCTGCCACCGCTCCTTCTTCTCCCGAGGGGGAGGCTGGCAGGCGGTGACCCAGCTAGAGCTGGTTGCATTTGTCTCCGCAGTGGGCCTTCTTCCTAGTATTATTATATTGCAGATCTTTCATGACTTTTTGTAAAGCACTTTATGAGCAACAGAGCTTTTGTATTACTCTGTAAGTCAGACTGTATTTGGATTGTATACTGTTTTTCATTGTTCACATTGTACATATTGTAAGGAATTGAATTTTTGTATACTACAGAATATTTCCTAAGATCCAATTTTGAAATGTTGTTATAAAATCCGTAGACGACGTTGATGATGTATTTTTACACTAGGATTTTCTTATGATTTGAAGGAATGTGTTTATTATGTTGCAGTGCTTCTTGACCATAATATACAGAAAACATCTTCTTTGCAAGTCTTGTTGACTGTGGGTCAGACTCTCATGACTGTTTTCTTTACGTTTGTTCCATGGTCAAAGTAGCCACTTTTCTTAAACTGGGGATTGTTTAAAATAGTATCTGTAAGAGCTCAGGGGGAAGGGGCTAGAGGTCTGGGAGCACCAGGACAGAGGGGTTTTTTTTTTGTCCCTTCTGCTTTCCTCCAAATTCTTCACCCAGCAGTTAGCTTTGAGACTACCTTATAGGGGGTTAGAACATTGGACAATCTAGCCCTGTACTCTCTACTCTGATCTAGGCTGCCTCCATAGTTTTTTAGGAGTAAAGATGGTGGGAGTAAAGGAGGTCTGTAAATCATAAGATGGAGGGAAGTGATGGGGTTCCATCTTCCCCTCTTTTTCTCTCCCCCAATTCATCAGCCCAGCATCAGTTGTGCTATAGCAATCATTTCCAGTTGGGCTTTCCTATGATGACAAGACAATCAAGGAGATGAATGATTGTAATAGTATGTTGCTAGTACAATTGTTATGTCTGGACATGTACAATTTTCCACTCAGGCTTAACTGCTGCGGATGCTACTAGACAGCATAAGGAGGCATGCCTGGACTTGTCTGGCAGGCCACCTAGATGGAGAGTGGAGAGGCATGTCTGGGCTTGTCTGGGGAGTCCACCTAGTGGAGCTTGAAGTCACAGAACAAAGGCAGGCAGGATCCTGGAACCTGCCTGTGGATTGGCCCCTGAGGGCAGCCAGTCAATTTGGAGCCTGGAGGCCATTTGAACTCACCAATCGCATGGGGGCTGGGAGTGGCTTAGGTGTATATAGTTAGGACCGTTGCCCCATGTAAAGCATTCCTGTGGAGATGCAATAAACTGTTGCTTGTTGAAATCACTCTGCCTTCACCTCTGCCATGTTAAACCCACTATTTAACAACAATAGCCAGTGTTGTGTGGATGCAGCTTGAAGCAGCTTCTTCTAGGTTTATGGCCGAGGTATTTTCCAGACTTGTTAATACAGAACTGTTAACTGGAGATGCCAGGATCTTTTGTGTGCAACAGATACAGTTTCTGATTGAGGAGACCTTGGGATGTCAAATATACCCATAAATGTGACACCAGGCCTCCTCCTCCTGTCTTTCAAGAGATCTCAGAACACAGCACTGGATTTCCTTGGAGACTCCTTGACTAGGTTGCGAATTTGGAGCCAAAGGATGACCTTGCTTCTCAGCTTCCACCCCGAAGGCATAGTGTAAATGCAAGCCTCATTCATTCCCTGAACATGCAGGGTTTTAATGCCCCTTCCTTTGGACTTGAGCCCATCACAACTTTTGCTGGGCTTCTTCCCTTTAGTCACCCAAACTTGAAGCCTTAGCCTGTACCTGCATGCTGCTTTCTGACCCCCATAAGCAGTTGGGGGGGGGGGGCTTTAGCCAGACAACCTCATCAACCATGCATTCCCCCAATTCATGATCTCCCACATTTTCATATATAAAAAGTAGGTTTCAAATACACAAACTATTCTCTAGGGGTTTTGAAATCTCTCATCTTGCTTACCTTTTTGGCAAAGCTTTTAAGGAGGCTAATACAAAATGCTGCTCAGTTGCCAGACTGAAGTTTGGTACAGACTTGACTTCTTTGGAAACTTGTTCTGAAAGTATGTCATTTGAGGACATTCTCTTCTGAAAACATTTAATAAAGATATTAAGAAACATTGTCCAGAAGCCTGATGTACAGGGAAAGAATGGGGCCAAAGTGCCAGGCTGGGGGTGGGGGGAGAGAAGGATGAAGGGGACACCATTCTCAGAAATAAAGTGATATAAGTAACATCCCTGCCCTGCCAACCTTGCCCCCTACTGATTTTTCAACCAGCCAGGAATCATAGGAACAGATGATTGGGATGAAAGGTGAGCAATGCAACCTCATCACTAGAGTTAGCAACCTCAAGGCAGGGCGTGGAGTTCTCCTGGAATTACAGAGATCAATTCCTTTGGAGGAAACTCTATGGTATACGATGACATCTAGGAGAAATGGAAGTCCTAGAGTGACATCATATACCTGAAGAGCTCTCTCCACTCTCCCTAGGCATGTTCCAAATATCCAGGAATTTCCCCAGCTGCAGTTGGCAACTCTACATCACGCCATAGCTTTTCATTAAACCAAAGTAGGAAAGAGATGCTGTGCAGCCTTTTCACCATCCAAAGCGGGCTGACATCCCTTCTATTAGTTACTGGCAACCTCATTAAGAAAATGTATGTACTACTTTTAGATAATAAGACCCAGGATGAAGAGTTCAAAAATATTATGATAAAGTGGGCACAAAACTTGGGTCATAATATTGAGCTGGACCAGTGGTCACAGGTGTGTGTGGGGAAATTAAATTACTAAAGCAATTTCATATAAGGAAAATATTTATAAAATGTTTTATAGATGGCATATTATGCTTGATAAACTGGCAAAGATTTATCTCGATTGTTCAAAAGTATATTGGAAGTGTCAAAATAATGTTGGATCTTTTTACCATATGTGGTGGTTATGTCTAAAGCAAAAAAGTCCTCCATCCTTTCCCACAGACATTCCTTTTCCATCTAACCCTACTTCACTCTTAACTGTCACTCCACTGTCTGCCCTTAAATTCCATATAACTGGAAGCAGAATATTTCATCATCTGCCTTATTCTAAGAGACATAATTTGCATGTCATGCTAACTGCAACATTTGAAACTTGGTTTAGGAGGATGTACAAAGCTGAGAGTGTGGGAGAAACCTCCAGGTGTAAAAGCTGATCCAAACAAATTTTTAAGAAGACACGCACATCCAAAACAAGAAATGACACAAAGGTAGCCACACTTCCTTGAGCACAAGAAACCAAAAGTCTTCCCCTCCCTTTTTTGATTTACAGAAACCAACAAAATGCCAGGCACTACAGTTAATGACAATAATAATTATTATAGTATGGTGCTGCATGTAGAATAGCCAGGAGTTCCTAAGATTTATTTATTTAAGATTGTCTGGCAGCCAGAATTTCTAGCTCTTTTAGCATTATGCACCACTAGGTGGTGATCTAGACTTTGTTTTTAAGGCAAGACACTTTTAAAGGTGGTTTGCGATTGCCTGCCTCTGTGTTGTAGCCCTGGTATTCTTTGGAGGTCGCCCTTCCAAATACTAGCCAAGGCTGACCCTGCTTAGCTTCTGATTCTGGCTATCCAGATTAGGGCTTAGAAGTGACACTACTTAGAGGGCTCATGACCTATGTAGACACAGAAGATAGAATGGAGGCTGGGGAGCGTCAGCTAGCAGCATCTGAGCACACGAAGCTGCCTTATACTAAGTCCTCTGGCTTAGTATCTATTGCCTACTCTAAGCAGTGGCATTCCAGGGACTTCAAGCAGAGGAAGATCTTCCCCACATCAGCCACCTGGGATCCTTTCCAACTGGAGATACCAAGAATTGAACCAGGGACTTTCTGTGTGCAAAACAGGTGTTCCACCACTGAGCCACAGCCTCACCCCTTGGAAAGGTGGGGACGGGGAGTAGCTTCACATCTCCATGCACAGAGACTGGGTCCCCTGTTCACAGGCTGATAAGTAAAATCTCAACACATATACAGAATTATCCCTGGTATACCAAGAAATAGCCCAAACTAACCAAGAATCTTGGCAATGTTCTCTTGACGGGAACACAAACTGCCATCACTCAAATATGTCCTACATCTAGTAAGTACATTCCCCAAAGAGGACATGAGCTTTAGCAGTTGCCTACCACCCTTGCACACCAATGGGAAATAAGAGCTTGCAGAAGGTCTCAGTTCTGGCCCCTGGCATCTCTACTCAAAAGGGTCACAAAAAGCAGGCATGCCTCCAAGTCCTTGGAAAGCCACAACCAGTGAGTACAGACAACACAGGGCTAGAGGGGCTTTCTTCAAATGTCCATTAAAATCGCCAACAACAGGCATTTGTTTTAACACTGAATATTTCAGTTGTGAAAAAGACAATTTGTCCCAAGCATTGGGAAACCACAGAAGTAACTCTAATATTTCCATCTGACCAGAATACTCACAAAATTCAATAACGTCCTTAATATCTCTATAACCATTAAGGCACTGATCATATATTTATTTATTAAAACATTCATATCCTGCCTTTCCTCTTGGTTCAAGGCAGCTTAGTGATTAAAACATCTCCAGCTAAAACCAAAGATAAAATAACAGCTCCCAACACCTCCTCCTCCCTTAAAAGATGCCTGTCATTCAACCCCCCCCCCAAAAAAAAGCCCTGGGAAACAGGCAGGCCTTGGAGTGCCTCCTGAAGATCTCCAGGGAGGGAGGGGGCCTCACCCCTTCAGAAAGCCCATAGCACAGAGCCAGAGGCACGATGGAAAGGGCAGGCCCAGGCTCTGGTCAATGCTAGACAGTCCACCCTAAGTGGCGGGATAGCCAACAGATATAGTAGACACAGCTCCTCCAACGTCATCCCTCCATCAGTCCTTTCTCAAACCAAAGGACATGTTGTGTTTGAAAGAACGAACAGTGGGAGGGAGAGCAATGGATACAGCCTTGTTCCATGCTTTACTTCAATAAAAACAAAAGCGTCCACTTCAGCATTCTGTTCCACACAATGGCCAGCCAGCTGCACTATGGATTTATATTGTCATAATTCCCCAATACAGAATTTGCCTGTTTCAGCACCACTATACACTGATCCCATATTTTCATTTAGCTATCGATCATGCCTCCAAGGTCTTCTGCACTATCAAAGCCAGCTCTGATCCCACAAGTGTATTCTGTATGTTTGGATGTTTTGCCCCACTATACATTACTTTACACTTTGGGCTAAACTACATGCTACATGGGAGATCCATGACTGGATCTTACAAGTTTTATTCTGCACTGATGCATAGCCATGGGAAGCCATATGGCTTATCAGCAGAATAGTGGTGTTGGGGGAAGTGGGCTTAACCATTTGCCTCCATGCCATATTACAAATTAAAATAGCTTCCTACAACTGCTATTTTCCACTGGAAAAAAAAGGGGGGGGAATTCTCACAACTCCCAGATTTTTCCCCCCATGGTCATTTTCATATAGACCATTTCACTACCCCTTCTCCTAGTTAAAGGAAAAACTTTTGGAACTCTTTTCCATTTTGCTGCAAAGATCCAGGTTCAAATCATTAATCAGCCATGAAGCAGGTAGATTCAAGAAAACTACCATCTTTCTATTTAACTTTAACCATAGTGAAATCAGATGAGCATTTATTGTAACTTTTGCCTGAGCTTACAGTGGAGCCAACTGTAAAGCCACATAACTGCCAATATACTGACAGCTCCATTCTCTGTTCTTACTCTGTTCTAATGGAAAGACAATCAGCACAACCTCTGATGTAGGCTTCAGATGTTCTAATGCTACACTTGGTTGGTAAAAATTGGTTCTTAGGCTTACACAAAATTGAACTTCTAAAATGAGTCAGTTACAATGTTGGAAAAGAATACCTTCATTAGTAACAATGCTTCTGGTGATCCAACATGGATAATTTGAGACAAGTATGGTCGAAATCCCGATTTGAAAAATCTGGAATTCTGTGTTCCGCTTAGCCAAGGTGGACGCATTTTCAGCAACTCTTCTAAAAAATATGCACTATTTTTAAAAAATAACATTTGATTCAAAAATAACATTTAATTCAATAGGTTTCAAATAGTATGAATCTGTTATCTCTCTGGTCACCCAGTTTATTCTCAATAAGAAACAGTCCATATTCTGTTTTAAAACATTCTTCTTAAAAGCAGCCTATAGGTTACCCTGAAGGTCGCTTGTGCATGTTACAGAACTCCCCACAGAGAAGGTACTTATTTAGGTAGGAATCCATGTATACATTTCATCCGTGCATTTTTCACTTCACGTACAAGCTGAGAGATCACATACAATCAAAATACCTTGCATATGTTCATATTGCATTTTATATATTTTAATGACACCTTCAATAGGTTGTATCCAAAGTACAAGTTCTGCAAGGGGAAGGCATTTCTGCATGTGCAGGTGAGGGAAGTCCATGATTCCCATGCTGTTCCTCAGAATCCCCCAACCAGCTCTTCAAGCAGCACCAGAAAAATGCAGAAAACAGGAAGTAGAAAATATCCATTCTGCAAGCAGAGTTCCAAATAGCAACTTGGATCCAACCCAATATTTTATTATTATTTTATTTTAAATTTATAATTTTACAAACGTGTAACAATACCAATCAAAACAAAGCAAGGTACAGTTGAAGTATAACTCAGGACAATTTGCAAAGTATGGCTTCAACATTGTTATAAGATAAGGGGTATCCCCCTAACACATCATCTATATGATCTGTGCAATACCAACCCAATATTTTTGGTGGATATTAATCAGACCTTTTTTTCTTTTTTTTAAAAGAGAGGTGCCGGAACTCTCTAGAGGGTAATGAAGTTTTCAATCTGTATACTAAAAACTCATGAACTTTTAAACATTTTTAAAAGAATTTTGTCGAAGAGGTTCCGGAACTCCCCCAGAAAAAAAAGCCCTGGATATTATACTATTGGTTCCTCTCTTTCTTTCTTTTTTGCAGAATACCTCTATACTGAAAGGTTATTCACTTACAAATGTCTTCAAACACGTCTGAGAAGAAGGTGGAAAGTTATTTGTAAGTCAGCTTTTCTGCAAGACCATCGTCAGAGTCAGAAATCCGACAGGAACATATTAAAACCTATATAAATTATACTGTTCCATAACTGCTGAGAAAGATTTGATCAGATCTTGCATGGTATTTTATTACTTTTGTATTGTTTTAAATGTGACATATTAATTGTTATTGTATACTGTATTAATATTGATGGAACCCAGCCTGAGCCTGCTTGTGGGGAGGGTGGGATACAACTCCAATAAAACAAACAAACAAACAAACAAACAAACAAACCTGCCTGTTTTTATACACAGGCAAACCAACTGCAGAGAAGGATTTAAAAGCACTAAGAGGCACACAGGGTCAGCCTTCTTCTTCACTTATCCACGCCCTCCAGATTTGTGACCCTATGCAACTGTATTTGCCAATATACACTTAAGGTAATCCCACACAGCAGAATATTCCCTTCATGTGAAGAGCTTACTTTTCACAACACTTCTGGCTGCTTCCACAAACGGAGTTTTCCCCACATGGAGAGTGGCAAGTGGCTGCATTTAAACAGAACATCTACAAGATACTGTCCATTCTGAAAATGACTTGTGGGCTTCCAGAGGCTTTCCCCTTTAAACTGGACCAAAGAAAAATCTTCTTAAATCTGGTTCAAAGAAGAAGCAGGGTGGTTGTTGGTGGAGAATCTGTGTGGATGCTCCACACACTGCCAATATTGGGGGGGGGGGGCTTGAACTTAGCTCTGTTTTCAAAGTGGAAGCAGCTCACTCTGCCACATGCTGCCCCTGTACCTTAGCTCTTTACCTTTCCTAGCCTGGTCATGCTGTACCCTGGGAAAGTGAGGGGGAGGGGGTGTTTTCTGGGCCACATGAGGGCACAGCACAATCTCTATTGTGATACGGTTTCATGCATGCATGAGGGAGAAAAGAGGGAGGACCAGGGTTGGGGGCAACAGTAGAGAAAGGAGCAAGATTGAAGGGAGCAATTGAGTTTATGAAGACCATTCTCACTCATTTACACACTTCTTGGAGCTGCTATATTGCACCATGAGAATGGGTATCTCATCACCATGTAGATCCAGCCTCCCTTCTGTCTGGAACCAGCCAGAGGTGCCACCCACCATGTTCTGGACTATTCCTAACACATAAAACTAGCAGACTGGGTGGTATCACATAAATCTCCAATATCTCAGTAGCAAGACTAGCCAGACATTAGGGAATCACTGCACTTGTCATACCTCTGAAAGAAACGTGAGAAATATTCTTGAAACACTGTTAAAAATGAAGGAGCAATACACTGGACTGTCTCCTGCACAACACCCATGGGATGAATAGGAGCTCCTCAAGAATACATTCATCCACTTGTGCAGCTCCCAATTATTATGCTAAGGCTTATTACAGAAGACATTTTCTGGGATGGTGCTCTGCCATTCTGCCCACTTTGTTACCCAGTAGGTGAGGAAACATGATCCCATGCCCAATAAATATTCACAGTGCTCATATTTTTCTCTCCAAATAATTAATCACAAATCTTTGAGATTTTTTTTTTTACAGGAAAAGAGATTTGAGATGTTTGGGGCTTCTTAAGCATGGTGTTCCCTTTTACCAGTAACTGAATCAAGTCACAGTTGCATCCAACTTACTCTTGTGTAATACCAGTCTCTCTCGAATAACTTTTTGTAGCCATTTTTCATACATTCTCTCTTTTTGCTCCTCATTTTCTGTTTGAGGTCCACTGACAGCCTCATATGTTTTAGGGGCTTCTTTAAGGGCTAAGCCATCCAGATGGGTTGCACAGGCAATATAATGTTTTTTCCAAGCACTGTACTCATTTTGTGCCGGACTGTAGGGAAGAAACCATCCAAACCGAACACATTTTGGCATCCACAGACAATCCTTTAGTGAAGAAAGTAAATACAACATTTTAAATCATACTTTCTTTTTAACAACGAAGGATAACAAAATGAGATTTCACTTTTTATGAAGCCTCATAAATTGACTTGGTTCAGACCTACTAGTAAAGTGAGGAATCAGTTTTGGTTGAAGGATCATGCTATGGGCTTATACACAAATCAAAGTTACAGATGACCAACTCATTTGGGGGGGACGCGGGGGGACGCCATCCCCCCGGGTGAGGTGCGGGAGGGCGGGGCCTGGAGCTCCCTGCTGGTGCCCGCTGGAGGTTGCCGCCGGCTGCGGGGAGGACACACTTCCGGTGATGTCAGGGGGTGTGGCATATGCTAATGAATTATGCTAATGAGTCCCCCTAGCTCTTTTTCTACGAAATGACCCCTGGATAAAAATGAAATTGGGTAACCTCTTAACGTAGAGGACCCTGGTAAAATCAGGGTTCTCTGACCAAGTCTAGGAGTATAGTCAATTTAATTTAAACCCACGATACTAATAGTCAAATGTAACGCCTAGGTACATATGCATGCAGTGTGTGGATTGTATTAGTCAACAATGGCCACCATTCCAAAGCGGAAAAAGTTGTACGGCCATATTTCTCCATGCAAAATGTAAAAACAAGAACAAAATCTGTATAATACTATTTAATAGGACCAACCAAATCAACACCAATGTTTTGTATCAATTTGGTTGGTCCTAATAAAAGATATTACATGTGTTTCCCCCCCCCCCCGTTTTTACCTTCTGAAAACCTCTGTGATGAAACATCACGCAAAACGGAGCTCTTCCGCCAGGCTTTCACATAGGGGCCACCACTACCACCGCCACCAATGAGGTGGAAAACATCGGGGTTAAGGATGGCCCAGGAAGATCTGCCACAATTTCTGCATGGCCACTGGATTTACCTGGTTGAGCTATAGGATAACATCACCCTGGAGAACCATCCGGAGTATAATTTTTATTAATTGTCATTAATGTTTTATTGCTTTTATCTGTTTTATATGGGTTTTCCCCTTGTAAGCCGCCCTGAGCCCGCTCTGAGGGGAGGGCGGGGTATAAATCTTAATAAATAAAATAATGAAGAAGAGAAGAAGAGATTGGATTTATACCCTGCCCTTCACTACCCGAAGGAGTCTCATAGCGGTTTACAATCTCCTTTCCCTTCCCCTCCCCACAACAGACACCCTGTGAAGTAGGTGGGGCTGAGAGAGCAGCTTGTGAGAGAACAGCTCCAAAAGAACTTATGACTGACTCAAGGTCATGCCAGCAGCTGCATGTGGAGGAGTGGGAAATCAAACCTGGTTCTCCCAGATTAGAGTCAACATTCCTATCCACCATGTCTGTCCACAGAGCACAGTAATCTTACTGTAGCACTGGAGATATTAACATTTGAGGACATTTACCAGTACGTTCTTTCACAAATATAGGCCTAAGTACAAGTTACATAAAATATACAGAACAAAAGCCCAAATTTGGAGTGATGCAATTAGAACAGAGAAGTCAGCAGCGAAATTAGGTCCCCGCCTTTTTCCTGCCTATCCTCCCTCCAGCGCCACCCAATTCCAAATGCATCTGTCTCTATAAACATTAACTTGGAACTCTACTTGGGAGGAGAGCATATTAGGGTGGTCTGTACTGGAAAAGTAGTGGGGAAGTTAAGTACACATGCATGCATTCACGCAAACATACACAGAGCCTCCATGCCACTAGCTTCTCTTTCCTATTTTGCAAAATGTAGTTCCACAACTTATATTATTTATAAGGTTTAGGGCATTCTACTGACCTCATGTTATGTATTGCATGATTATGTGGCAAGAGCTAAACCAAAGCATGGTCAAAATGCAGAGCAGATTAGAGAAAGTCTGTTTATAGCACTGCCCATTTTACTCACTCCATCCTAAATGCTTCCTTTGGATTCTCACTTGACCAGCTTCCCATCCCTAAACTATTTATTTAAGCTATCTAGACATATAAGAGTACTCTCTTTAATTTCTCAAATACTGTTCTCATGTCAGGGAACAGAGCATTAGTGGAATTAAAATACTGAAAACATATTATCAAGGAACCCATTTTTATTTCAATCAAAAATACATTTTTGATTGTCATATTAGTATTTGTCAGAGTTAGGTGGAAATGGGTTATAATTACACACCTATCACTGTTTTGCAGAATTAAATAATGCTACATTTAACAAATTGCTTCACAATTTATCATACAGAATTTAATATTTTGATTCTGTAAATATCCCCCCTTATTTGTCTAGGTCATCACAACGTATGAGGAAGATATACCTTTGAAATTACAATATTTAAGTTATACCACATGTCCTAGCCAGGATGCAGTGCACAGTAGGTGTGGGTTTAGCCCATTGGTATCAATGGTTTTAAGACAGCTCTGTGTCGGATTGTGACCACCATATTTCTGGCACCATATGCGATATGATTTTCAAAGCCAGCCCAAACACTAATCAGAGTGAAGAAGCAGGTGACAAATTTGGTACAATATTAAATAGCAGGAAATTATCATTTGTAAGTGGTTCCATTTATGATGCGGGAGGAGAGACAAGCATGTGTGTGTGTGTGGGGGGAGGTGTGCCTCCAGCGCCACAGTGACAGGAATCACAATTCATCTGTTTGAAATCATGGCAATTTTGTCTATTCTTCAGCAGGTTTCTTAAGGCTGCTTATAGCTTACTGGCTTCATTAACAGAGTGGCTTGAAAATACAGCAATTTTCTGTTCTTGTACTTAACTGAACCATTCTTATATCTAGTGAAGATCATATTCATCCTGAGCTTACCTGTTCTGTTAAAAACTTCCAGTGCCAGCTTACTTGGGCTCCTGCACATAGATCCTTGGGGCTCAGAAAGGAGAATATGTACAAAGATATGAAACGTGGTAGCAAGCTCGTGAAGTCCACTTTGACCACTGGGATATTTTCAACAAACCATTTCCCAACAAACCTGTGAAACAGACAGGAGACTGAAGTTGTCCCAAGGGAAGAGAGAAACCATTGTGGAGTTCTATTTGTTGGTTGGTTACTTGTTTCCCTTCAGAAATGATGATGGATTTCCAAAGGATTGTCATGAGGAGGCCCACAAGGGTTCCTATGAGTGTGACAATGTGGGTTACAGCAGTCAACTGGAAACGCTTATTTATAACCCACAGGTTCAAAAGCTCAGAGCAACTATGTACTGACAGCTATATAAAGTCAAGGCTGGTTCACTAGCCTGATTAGTTTCATATTATTGACATAGGACCAGTTCTCGAATTTATATTTGAAAAGATATTTGAAGCATGAATAAAGATCCAGGCAGACATTGATTTGGATGTCATGGATCCTTTCTGTGGATGGAAGTTAATTCCTACCATTGGATTGATACCTTCCCAAATGCTCCTCCTAGGGGAGTGGGAACCCCCAGAAAAAGAAGACAGAGAAATCTATAACAACACAGATAATACCGAGAGCTCAACTTCCTGATCAACTCCATGGTGCTATGCCTGAAGGCACTTGTTGGTTTGTTGTTGTTTTTCCCCATTGTATTTTATAATATGTGATTTTATTTTTCATGAACCACCTTGTGTGCCTATTCTGGGCAGAACAGTACAGATGTCAATAAAATACATGAAAGCAAATAAGCACAGTGACTTGAAAGCAGCTTCCATTGAAATAAATGGGATATACTTACTTCCAAGAATGGAAGGAACTACTTCTTTCCCCTCCTGAAACTCTGTAGTGGTTAGTAGGCATGGCTCCTCTATTAAGAGAAGTAGATTCCCTGACCAGCCTTGCAGAAGGGAGTGGATCAGTCCCCCTCGTCTTGGAAGGCCACATCAGCATAATCCTATGTGTTAGGGTTTCCCTCTCCCAACTGGCCTATGTTGCTGTATCTTTAAGGCTGCAATCCTAGGCACTCACAAGATGAAAACCTTAAGAGGCACTACAGCATGGGACTGCTTGAGGAACCCTAATGTGTCGCTCCTGAAAGATTGCTTTATCTTTAAGCCAGAGACAACTACACAATATACAGCACTGTGCAAATACCTGTTGGGCCACAGACTTAATTGTTGAATGCTCCTGAAACTCTGTAGTGGTTAGTAGGCATGGCTCCTCTATTAAGAGAAGTAGATTCCCTGACCAGCCTTGCAGAAGGGAGTGGATCAGTCCCCCTCGTCTTGGAAGGCCACATCAGCATAATCCTATGTGTTAGGGTTTCCCTCTCCCAACTGGCCTATGTTGCTGTATCTTTAAGGCTGCAATCCTAGGCACTCACAAGATGAAAACCTTAAGAGGCACTACAGCATGGGACTGCTTGAGAAACCCTAATGTGTCGCTCCTGAAAGATTGGTTTATCTTTAAGGCAGAGACAACTACACAATTTACAGCACTGTGCAAATACCTGTTGGGTCACAGACTTAATTGTTGAATTGGCAAAGCATACTGAGCTGCAGACCGGAAGGTATGTAGTTTGGCAGTTTGAGACCCTAGTGCCACCCCCCCGCATGCTGGCAATGCAATGATGGGAAAAGCTTCCGGGTGAACTCACACCTCTCAGTTTAACAGAGGCAAAGAGAACCTATCAGGGTAAAAATAAATTGCAGCCATCCTCTCTACACTAGCCATTTCACCTTCAGTTTCAAATTTCATTGGACTATGGGAGAGATATCTGCACTGATGTAAATGTTCTTTTATCTTCATGCAGTCATATCTTGAGTGGTGAATTCACTGTAGCAAGGGAAACCTTTACCTTTACACCTGTGTCTTCTTGCGTGTGTATTAGGTTACACCTCAAGTTGGGTGTCTTCCAGGTCTCACATTTCTCCTGGCAAAAGCTTTATGTCTTTAGTAGCTTCCGACAAGCAGAGAAGGAACAGGAACCATCCCCCCCCCCCTCATGTGTAAGAAGAGCTCTGTAAGGTCTTGGAGGATTGGCTACATTAGGGGAGTGTGGCCTAATATGCAGAGGAGTTCCTGCTACAAAAAGAGCCCCATGTACCACCTTCCTCAGAGAACCAAGAACCTTCCTTTGCCTACACAAACCAACCATACAGTACAGAGTCCTAAATGACTGCTGGTTTTGCAGTTGTGGAACTATTCCCCACTGCCCTGCCACAACATCAGCTGAGTTGGGAAAAGACTTTTTTTAAAGTGTAAAATAAGAATACAACCAGATAAACACACAAGGCATCCAATTGTCTGTCTTTACTTAGAGAAATAGGCTGCATGAAGCATGTGGGGAATCCTGTCAGACACATGACAGAATAGGATTAATATAAGGAGAGGCAGAACTCACCTTGCAGAAAATTTCACAGTAGTCACTGGAGGCTGGTATGTCTGTACATACCTTAAGGTGTTGGGGGAGGAATTAACTCTTGTTACCATGGAAACAAATTAATTCTTTTTTATCAAACATCGCTTCTCTGCATGGCTTTGCTAAATAGGCCTTAACTAAGCACTCATTTCAGAGGCAAAGAGTACAGTAGGGTCATCACCCCTGCACTTGGCCCTGCTGCACCCTGCAGATGCAAGCACTGGCATGGACAAAAGAGTAAGGTGCCGGAAGGGAGTTCTCGTGTAACCTGCTTTTAGCTTTTCACAAAAATCATACATGCAGGAAAAGAACTTGTGACTCACTCACTTACTTACTTCAGCTGTGATGCGCTGCATTTCAGGAGTATCCAGTGCAAAAACTGCTTACGCTGCCTGTCAGTCCACATGTCAAACCAGTGGCTTATAAGCCTGACTCTTTCCTGAAAGAGCTAAATCAAACCACAAGCTGGTTTCAAAGTACAGCTCAGCAACACAGAGGCCTACAGACGAATACACCTCTGATACTACTACGGCTTTCTGTGAAGTACCAACATTCAGTGGTATCAGAACCATTTCATAATTTTTACCTTAAAGCACTGTCTCCAATGACAGCCCTCCACTAACAAGCCACCGTCGGTCTGGGCTGATCACATTCTAAGATGGCTTTGCTGATAGCTTATTATGCACACTTTTTTCTATATGTTTCAGAAATTCACTGTTCATTATGATTCAAAACAGTGAAAGCTGTTTTAAGATGAAATGGTTGTCAGATTTTTACACTGGATCCTACATAACTTTTCTGCCAACTGTGTGGGTTTTCTTTGGTGCAAGGAACCATGTGCTGGCACAAAAGGCTTCTTCACAAGCCAGTGCTGGAGGAAATTATTGCCACTGGAAGGAAGAATCCGTAGAATCCAGCCCTCAATTTCTAACTAATTGTATGTTCCATCTCTTTTCTTTTTCAAAGGGTGCTATCCTGTGCATACTAATCAGGAAGTAACAGAAGGTGTGTGTGTGTGTGGGGGGGGACTTTTGCAAAGTATATAAAGGTCCATGTTTTAAGCGAACATCTTTAGCAGGAAATGCAGATCTTAAACCAATAATCCCATTTAAATCCTAACTGTAGTATGTGCTGGAGTGAAGATAATTCAGTATGCTTGGAGGTTGGGCACTACATTTAGGAGGCAGGAGAAGAGGGAGGGTAAGTTGCTTCCTCCCTGCCTTTCCCCACCCCTGCCTGCCTGGGGCAAGGGAGGCCTTCGCGGGGCTTCCTTGCACTCCCGCCAGCCTTGCAGGTCCACCGCCGGGCCCCTCATGGGGCTCGGCAGTGGAGCTGCAAGGCCGGCACCGGCGGCCGGGACCGTTGGGGGTGGGGTGTGTGGCCTTATGACACATTTCCAGTGATGTCAGGAGGTGTGGCCTTATGACACACTTCCGGTGATGTCAGGGGGTGTGGCATATGCTAATGAGTTCCCCTAGCTCTTTTTCTACGAAATGACCCCTGCTGGAACAGATTGTGTGCGTGCCATCTCCTTACTGAATGGGGTGCCTCTCATTGTCACAACTGGGAGTTCCTCTGACTCCTCCTCTGTGGGCTTCTCCTGTGAGAGGTCATGCTGGGTAAGTCCAGAATTCCCTAAATAGACCATACTTGCATTCAGCTAACGTTATACAACCTAGCAGGTTGTTTTAGTTAAAGTATTCTTTAGATTAGGCCTTTATCTATCCCTACTGTAATGGATATGAACCTAATTCAATAAATGTAAGTTTTATCTTTTTTTCTAATATAGTTGCTTTGTGGGTTTATTTGCTGTGCCTTCCAGCCACAGTTCCTCAGCTGTGGAACTTTGCTATAGAAACGAGTAAACACCCCTGTGGAGAAATGCTTTATCTTCTGGACAGTTGGCAAGAAGCAAAAGCCCTCCCTGTGCATCTTACCAGTTTTTTTCCCTCTAGTCAGAGGAGAAAGTCAGTTCACTGACACCTCAGCTCACCTTCTTACAAATGCTAATGACTCTAGCAGGAAAGACAATGGGGTGATCAAGTGTTTCTCCTCCCCACTTTCCCAGGCAGGAAACAGAGTTAGGATGGCTTTTGGCTAGAAAAACCGCAAAGATAAATAAAAATAAATAAAGACAATCTCCAGGAATGAGCTGGAAGAAATGCTTCTTTGACCTGATGTGACCTGGTCAAGTGGGTGGAGACACAGAGTTAATAAAGGTTCCATGCAAGAGGAAGTTGCGCTCTTTTCCTGGGGATGGTTGGCTGAGGAGGACGCTGAGCTCTGGTCTACAAGCAGGTGGCTATTGAACATGTGGTCGGCCTGGGAGAGTTGCGACAAACTTTGAGGTAATGGAAACTTGGTAGAGAACTAGAACAACTAAGCTAAAGAGCCTGTCCTATTTTAACATCAGTTAGGGCACATATAACAGGACAGACATTTTATGTCATGGAGGTAAAAAAACTCTCATTAATTGTTTTCGTTACATTATTTATGGTCCACCTGTCTCACTGAGACTTAAGGCAAATTACATAGTATCAACAGGATGAGCATCCAGTAAACAGTGCAGTAGGGTTTGAACTGCAGAATCTGAAAAACAACTGAAACAAACCTGAAACAAAATATAAGCATTTAAACATGACATGTTGCAGCACAAACAACAAAGAGACTTGTGACACCATTAGAGATTAATGTAACTGTCCTCTCAGGAAGAAAAAACCAACACTTTATTGTGAACAAAACTCTTGGAAGTTCACTCAATTTTACTGTTGTTTTTCATTCAATGGAGGACCATTCCTCCTGTAGGTTTACAACAGAAATGGTTTCTCAAGATCTCTCCTAATTGAGTGTGTGATACTTCTACCTTTTGTACCAAAGTAAACAATGTGTCCTCTGGCATTTATCTTTCACACATCTGTGCAGACCTATTTTTTCTATGTGCTGCTCCTTGGGCAGGAAAGAGCTGTGTTATGGTTCCCATTGTCTTCCAAGCAGCAACCCACCTCTTTTTTTTAAGTCAGAGGAATACTACACTGGGAATTAAACATAATCTTTGCTGAAAGGGATCCTACATTTCAGCAATTTCTGGATCCCAGGTTTTTAATAAATCAAGTACCCTTTACGTAGGCACAGTTCCGCTAGTCCTAGAGAGATTACCAGGAAGTAATCTGTACAACACATGCAATCACTAGGTGTTTTAATAGAATGGATGATTTATATGGAGTTTCTGCTGTGGCTGACTATGGCCTGGTAATCCCACTGTACAACATTATTCTCCTTCTATTCACTTAGTAAAGGTAAAGGTTCCCTTGCTCGAAAGCCAGTCGAATTCGACTCTAGGGTTGCGGTGCTCATCTCCGTTTCAAAGCCGAAGAGCCAGCGCTGTCCGAAGACGTTTCCGTGGTCATGTGGCCGGCATGACTAAACACCAAGGTGCACGGAACGTTGTTACCTTCCCACCGAAGTGGTACCTATTTATCTACCTGCAATTTCTTGCTTTCGAACTGCTAGGTTAGCAGGAGCTGGAACTAGAGATGGGAACTCACTCCATCATGCGGCACCCGGGTCTCAAACTGCTGAACTACCGACCTTCCACAGCCTGCAGTTCAGCGTCTTAACCACTTGAGCCACCGCAGCTCCTATTCACTTAGTAGATGGGATTAATTGGGTCGAACCTGTTGAACATGGCATAGCTGTTCATGTGGCATCCTAATTGCACAACCACTACTTTTGAAGTGGATTTGAGCATTTCCTTCTCTTTTTCCCCTGTCAATTATTTGTGGACTGTGAGAGTGGTACCCCATATAAATTACTAGCCTGATGCCCGTGCTTCACTACGGTATTTGAGTTCCGTAAATCCAGTTATAATATTGATGATGTGAAGTTTGAAATGTAACATTTGTTATAGGAATTCTAATGGAGAAGATTGTAGTGCAAGCAGGCAGGTTTTACCTCAGAACTCATTTATGTTACAATTAAGAAGTGGGACATAACTATATATTTTAAACAACATCCAAGCAATCAGATATTAAGCAAGTTCATATGAACCAATTTTCTAGAACCCACATTGTGAGAAGTTAAATAACCTAATACAGGAAACTACTTATCCACAAATTTGGGGTACATTTCCATAGTGGGTAGGGGTGTGGTTAAAGCTGTTGGGGTGGCTGGGCCAGCAGCATTGCTAAGGTGATGTTGCTGGGACAGTCTCCCTGATGGATTAAAGTACCCTGGCCCTGCTCCTACACCTGACAAACACCCACCTGTCTGGTGTAAGGGGAGGGATTGTGTTTAAAGGCATTGGGGAGGCTGGGCCAGCAGCAGAACTAAGGCAATCCTGCTGAGCAAGACTCCCCAACGGCTTTAAGGACTCCATGCCCCTTCCAACCCTTGACAGGCAGTTGTCTGTCAGTTGTAGGAGGGGTAGCGTGTCTGAAGGCATTGGGGAGGCCTCCCCGATGGCTTTCAACGCACTGCCCCTGACAGGCAACTGCCTGTCAGGTGGAGGAGGAGTGCGTGGGAGTGTGTCTAAAATAAAGCCATTGGGGAGGCTGGCCCAGCAGCATTGGTGAGGTGTTTCTGCTTGGGCAGCCTCCCTGATTAATTAAAGTACCCTTGCCCTGCTCCTACACCTGACAGACACCTGCCTGTCTGGTGTTGGGGGGGTGTTTAAAGGCATTGGGGAGGCTGGGCCAGCAGCAGCACTAAGGCAATCATGCTGAACAAGCCTCCCCGATGGCTGTAAGCATCCCACCCCCTCTCCTACACCTGACAGGCAACTGCCTGTCCAGTGTAGGGGGGAGGGGTACTGCCAGCTATTGTGGAGGCTGGGCTGGAAGGATCACTAAGGTGTTACTACTGGGGCACCTTCCTGATGGCTTTAATCATCCTGCACCCACTGCCTGTCAGGTGTAGGAGGTGGGGGCAGCCATCGGGGAGGCTGGGCCAGCAGCATTGCTGCACCTCACAGGTGGTTGGCCATTCCTGATTTCCTCAACTGTCCTTAGCTGTCTGCAGTCTCCTGTAACTGTTTTCTTTTACCTCAGAACACTGAGCTCTGCAGCTGACCATTCAGAGAGTAGAGATGGGGTGCAAGAAGGCTGCAACCTGGCAGCCACATAGGAAGCAATGGGGAAGTACATTTTACACCTTTTGACCCCCTTAGGGGTCGAATTTCTAAACATCTCTTCTTAGGGAGCATCTACATCATGGTAGGAGTTCTCTCCCCGAATGTCATGTTTCTAGGTGCAGGGGTTTGGCCTGGGTGTTGATTTTACTGTGAGGGGACTTTCTTTTATATATATAGATGCCACAAAGTCTAGATAGCAGTGCATCTATCAACAATAGGCAGGAAACCACAGGGAAGACTGTCGGACAATGGGTTGGTAAAGGTAAAGGTTCCCTTGCTCGAAAGCCAGTCGAATCCGACTCTAGGGTTGCGGTGCTCATCTCCGTTTCAAAGCCGAAGAGCCAGAGCTGTCTGAAGACGTTTCCGTAGTCATGTGGCTGGCATGACTAAACACCAAGGCGCACGGAACACTGTTACCTTCCCACTGAAGTGGTACCTATTTATCTACTTGCAATTTCTTGCTTTCAAACTGCTAGGTTGGCAGGAGCTGGAACTAGAGACGGGAGCTCACTCCGTCATGCGGCACCCGGGTCTCGAACTGCTGAACTACCGACCTTCCACAGCCTGCAGTTCAGCGTCTCAACCACTTGAGCCACCGCAGCTCCTATTGGGTTGATACCAACCTACAATAAGAACTAGGCTACCAGGTATCTTAAGACATGAGCAATTAACACGTGGAATACCAAACCCTCCCCACAAAGACGCACCGATATTTCATTCTTAAAATTATCAGGATTACCATTCAAATATATTTTGCAATATGTTGCACACTACAACATGACATGGCTTGCCATGTCGTATCACTAGGCTACCTTTATTCCCAGATGTTCTACATAAAATACCAGGTAAATGTTTGTTACACAGTGTAAACAACCACAGATCAAGTTGCCCTCTGGTCAGCCCTGAACCTGTAGTTGCCAAATATTGCAGGTATTCCCCTAAAATCGTGACTAATGTAATACAGGTCTTGCAGTTAGTGTTTGAGGACAGAGCCTGGCATCTTCTTGAGCAATAAAAACAGAAGTTAGTCATGAATGGAGCTGGAAGACAGAATTCCTGTCACACCAGATTTTTAAGATACCATCTGGCTCAGACACCCAAATTCCCCCACTCACTTGTGTTGCGATGATGCTGACAAACAGGATTAATTTAACCTGGAAAAAAATAAGTACTTCCTGTTTAAATTATGAAAGAAGTATTGTATATGCATTTGCAAGGGGAAAGCCATGTACAGTGGGGAAGCAGCTACAGTACTACAATATGCTGCAAAAGCACAGCAATTTGAAAGAAGTGCTTGACTTCAGATATTTGATTTTACCTGCTCGTTAAGAGATTGGTTTTCAAGAGGTGTCCAGGAGCTGAATCGCGTATGCAACATTTCTGTTGTCTGATCTGGGCTGGAGCGTGTTGCCCCCAAGCTCTCCAAATGCCACTGTTTGACACTGTGCAGTGCAGATGTCATGTTTGCTGCAGTCATGATAGAAGTAGAGGCAGTTCCTTTAAATAACAGTTGTGCTTCACACTTCACAATGACTGACTGACAGCCGTTAGTGGCCTCCTAGAAACAGAAAAGAAGCGTAATGCTTTCTCACAGAGAATAAATTTGGGTTTCAGAATCTGATTTGGCTCTGCATCCGGACACAGCCACTCTGAACAATGATGAGTCATTGGACCCTGCATGCCATCTGTCTGCAACTCACATAGATTGTTCCTACTGCTTTCTTATCCTTCATCTTTTTAAAAGTTTTTTTTTACTTATAGGATAATCCATAACCTGATTCTTTTATAAAGTCTTTAAAAGTGTGAGTGATCTCTATTTATTTACTTATTATTTGTATTTATAGCCTGCCCATCCCATGAGCGGGCACAGGGCAGGTTACATCATATTTTGGCAAGGGAACTTTACCGCTAGGAGTATGTTTTTCCAAACATAATTTCACATTACCCTTTTTAACCCATTTTGAAGACGTTTTTGATCCGTCGTGGAGTAAACCGGTATAGGGCTGCCATTTCACACATGGCTTTCCCCTTCCGGTAAAGACCTGGATCTGAAGTGGTTTGCCATTTCAGACTACACCGCTTTTCCCCGCTGTTTTTCGCCTGCGTGGGTGATCTCTGGCTTTTTAAAAAAATGTTCGCTTTAGAGCGCTATAGCGCTATAACACAACAATCCAGGCATTCCAATGAGGTTGATATAATGCTGTTGTGTTATAGTGTTAAACCGTTATAGCGCTATAGCACTCTAAAGTGAATGTTAAAAAAAAAAGCCAGAGATCGCCTGCGAGGGCGAAAAAGCGCATCGGAACTGGGAGAGGCAACTGAAGACTACTTGGAAGCGGTGGACAGATAAAATGCTTCAGCCCCATTTCCTAAACAGGACAGAAGCGTTTGTGTGTGAAATTACAAATATATTCCGGTAGGGAACCAGTTCTAAAATGGTTCTGTCTGAAATGACAGGCCAGAAACCTTTTGGGAACCATTCCTCTTCCGGATTATATTGTCTGTCTGAAATTCCTCACTATCTTATAGTGATTGAGTCTCTGCTTCTCTCCCTCCTTCATTTTAACCTACTACCTGGGCATTTGATTCTCTGCTGTTATCTGTGCATATCATTTCAATCACATCTTCTATGCTAGGAAGCGATTCCTATCACCCCTCTCACATTGCTATGTCACAAATTAATCCTTATGGGCAATGTCCTAGGGTTGTTACAGCAAAATTCCTTTTCTTACCAGAATCTGCTGTCCACTGGGTCTAAGAGAGGATTAGAGACCATAAAACACAGTGTAACAAAGAGAAAAATATGTTTATCTCCCCCCCCCCCATTAAAACAAAAAAGGAAGTGATAAGAATGCTGGTTACTTTACCTCAAGGGAGAACTGCAGCCACTAAAGACTTCTTCTGAGAGCTAGAGTTGCTATTGGATTGGCTGAAGGTCAATACACCACAGCATCTCCATAGGAACCAAACTGCACAGCAAATGCTCTCTGGGCTTATAGCCAATGCAGGGGAAAGAATCTTTTGTCACGCTGGGCTGTGAGGCTAGCTAATTTATTTGAGAAATTTTATTGAATTGCTTTTCATAGGTTTCAAACCAATGTACACATAAAAATCAACGCATCAATAAAATATCAAGATGGCAATTTAACCATCTCAAATAAAACCACAAACAACAATAAAAATAAGTTAAAGAAAAACAGAAAGATAATTTACAGTAGCATCCTAAGTAGAGGTACATCCTTCTGAGTCCATTGAAGTTAATGAGGTTGAACTGTGTTTTTCTGCTTAGAATGGCAGCACTAAGTTATTAAAGGGGGGGAAATCTGCAATAAATAAGCCTGCTGTTTTCAGGGGAACAAAACTCTTATGATGTGCATTACATTCTTTTGAAATGCTGTATGTGTTTACATATTCAATATATTTTTTGTTTGTCTTAAAGACTTTTTGGGAGAGTTTCCACCTTTCCATTTCTAGTTTTCAGGGGAAGGCATTCCAAAGCTCTAGGGCAGCCACAGAAAAGGCCCAGCCACATGTAGAAACTAGTGGTATTTGAAACAGGGATCCTTCAGGTGATCTCAAACTAGTATAATCCCTTGGATTTAGTGGCTTTAGAGTGTATATTTCACTCTACATTTCCTTTATTTCTGGCAAGGATTCTATTTTAAGAGAAATCAGAAACCGGCAGGTGAAGGTTTTCCTGAATTCAATAAATATACAACCAAAAGTGGGGGGATCCTTGCTGCTGCCTTCATTGATTTGAAGGTGGATTTTGATATCATACCCCATGCCAGATTGTGGCACAAGCTAAAACTAACATCTACTGACAAGAGACTGTTGGCTTTGACTGAGACCCTGTATTCTAATCCCAATGTACAAGTCCGCTGTGGGTTAGACTGACAACTTTCCAATGTAATTTCCCAGCAGGGAGTGCATCAGAGATGTATGCCGGTCCTTTTGTTGTTTAATTTATATATCAACAATATGATTTCTGTTGTCTCTGCCCAGGACTGTTATTCTCCATCCACTGCTAACGTTAAAGTTTCTATCCTACTTTTTGTTGATGATGCAGATTTGGTCTGGGTTGTCACCAATATGCAGATGACACTGAGCTCTATCTCACATTTCCACCTGATCCCAGGAAGGCAGTAGAAACCAGGAAGCAGTTTGGGAGTGGATTAAGGCAAATAAACTGAAGCTTTATCCCAACAAGACAGAAGTGCTACTAATAAGTGGTTTGAACTGGGATTTTAAGGTGTCACCTCTTCTGGATGGACTTGCACTCCCCCTGAAGGAACGGGTCCTTACTTTGGCAGTGCTCTTGGACCCAGGCCTACTGCTAGGTAAGCAGCTGGCAGCTGTTGTCTGGATTGCCTTTTACAAGTTTTGACTGGTTTGGCTGCATGTAGAACCGGCCGAAACCAGATCATGCACATGGCTGGGTCAATACACAACACCTTGAAAGCCCTATATGTTTTGGGACCAACATACCTGAATGGATAGAGGAGCACATTCCAAAATTCCCTAGCTGAAAATATACACAAAAATTGCTGTTTCAGGTTGTTACAGAACGGTAACACAATACAGAATTCATAGCCAATATGAAAAGCACCATTCCCCCTGAAAAATCCATGGTTTTTTTGTGTTTGGGTGCTTACCATCGGCAGCAACAGGTGCCTTACTTTTGTTGGATTCTTCTTCTGATTTCCCTGCCAACGGTATTTGTCCCTTCCAATCAGATCCTTGAAAGGGATCAGGAGGTAAGTGCTGACAGCCAGCCACTTTTGGAAGCAAGCCCCAGAGAAGTGCTTGGCAGCTCCAAATGTATGTGAATAACTTTCCACTGGGGATTCTCTAGGATCAGGAAAAAGGCTGGGGGTGTGTGTGGAATCAAGACACCTGTCCTCCTCTACCCATACTGCCCTTGGTCAGCAAACTCAGTTCTTTGGCTTTTAAAGTGGCATTCTTGCAGCTGACACCTGACTGATCAAAGCAGTTAATCTGGAGATAACTAATAAACAAATATATTATGCAGTTTAGCCCTCAGACAGCCATGCACCAGCCCTTCACCACTGCATCCTCCGTCTCAAGGAATTCCTTAAATAATGGTAGCAGTAATACTAATTAAGGTACCCCAACAGTGGCCACCCAGAGTGAAGCCGTGTTGTTTCATAACAATTGGATGATTGATTCATCACATGCAATCACACAATCACATGCTCCTTTGAGAGCCAGTTTGGTGTAGTGGTTAAGTGCGGACTCTAATCTGGGAGAACTGGGTTTGATTCCCCACTCCTCCACTTGCACCTGCTGGATGACCTTGGGCAAGCCATAGTTCTGACAAGAGTGTCCTTGAAAGGGCAGTTCTTGAAAGAGCTCTCTCAGCCCCACCTACCTCACAGGGTGTCTGTTGTGGGGAGGGGAAGGGAAAGGAGTTTGTAAACCACGCTGAGACTCTGAGTGAAAGGCAGGGTATAAATCCAATCTCTTCTTCTTCTTCCTTTTAAAAAATATTCTGAACTATTTTCAAAGCTACCAAAAGGGGGGAGGCTTCAAAGGAAGTTTTCCTTTGTGAAAGTAAACGACACACTACAACAAGGAAGGATGGCAAATGCAGAGAGGTAAGAAAATTGTCAGTCGTAAGATTATATTAAAAAAACAGAAAAACAGATGCAGAAAGGATTAAAAAAAAAAATGGCTGGTGGCCAGTGCCATTCCCCACCATAAGAATCAGTGGATAGAAGTGCACCTGAGCTGAAAAGTATCTGTTCTGGGGAGGGTCTGTAAAAATCAAACCCCTCTGTCCATTCTGCTTAGAGGGTCTTTAGATTAGAGCAGCGGTTCTCAACCTGTGGGTCGCGACCCCTTTGGGGGTCGAACGACCCTTTCACAGGGGTCGCCTAAGACCATCGGAAAACACAAATTTTCGATGGTCTTATGATAGCAACGAAAATAATTTTATGGTTGGGGGTCACCACAACATGAGGAATTGTATTAAACGGTCGCGGCATTAGGAAGGTTGAGAACCACTGGATTAGAGGGAAGACTGTGCTCTATGCACATTTGGTGTCATTATCTTTGAAAACAGCTTCCCCAGGCCCTTGAATTGGTTTCCTATTGAAAATAATAGTCCCGAAATTCTGGAACCCAAACAAAATAAACACCCCCCAACAAAAACACGTGAATCTGAATCCCAAATCAGTAATGTTCTACATAAAACCCAGCAATCACAGTAACGGTCTTCCCTCTGAATTGCAGCTCCAAAATTATAATGAAATTTTACTCAGACACCCCTATGAATCTTCCCGAACACCGCAGTCATCTTCCAAGGCCCTGCTTTGGGTGTTCCTCCAATTTCTGAGATTAGGTGTGTGGCAACTTAGGAGAGGCCCTTCTCAGTCACAGCACCAAAATTCTGGAACTCTCTCCTCAGGGAGACTAGTCTGTCCCCTTCTTTTGCTGTCTTCTGCCAGCAGCTGAAGACCTTTTGGTTTTGTTCGGCATCCCCTCAGTGATCCCTCCTTCCTGTGAAATGTTTTAATTGTTGTTAATTTGTATTTTAGCTCTGGTTTTGATTGTTTTAATGAAGTGTTGGCTTTAATTGTTTTAAAGATGTGATCTTATACCATCTTATAATTTGTTAGCCGCTTTGGCGACCTTTACGAGGGCAGAAAGGCTGGGTATAAATTTTGTAAAAAAAAGATCTACAGAAACAAGTCATAACCATCATCTTTAAAATATTTTTATTGCCAAAATAAATTAAACATTCGTTAAACGGACAATATCACTGTCCAAAAACCCCCACACTAAGCTGTATGTTTATTTTCCTGCACTGTGTGAAACAGACAGCTATATCTATTACTAACTTAACCAAGCTGTCTGTGTGATTAGAACTTAAATTTTATATGAAATTCCAACTGATTTGAACACTGAGCATACAAATGCACTTTCAAGTTTTCCCAACATTCTGTGTCGGATAAGGCAATAATACAAAGCATAGCAGCAAGACATGGCAATTTAATACCCTGTACTCCAAGCCTGGCACAGTTGCAGCACTCACATCGGCCAAGGAGAATGTATGAACAGATTCACTTGCATTTGCTGCAGGAGATACAGAAAGAGTGCACTGCAAATAAAGATGACATCTGGGAACTGCAGTTTTAGCTTGTGCTGGTATTTGAAACACCTTGAGCATCTGCTAAATGAAGTTTTTGTCTGCAATGAACAGTTAAGGAAATGGGTTTCAAAGGGTTTGAACGATACAAGGGTTAAGTTTCTAGCATTATCCATACACTGGGAACAACTAGTTTCAAGATTTTTATTGGAATTTTAGGGAGGCATGGGAAAGCACTACACAAAAAGGTGGGCAGAGGCTGTGGCTCAGTGGTTAAAAACTGACAGGAGGAAGTTGTTAGTAAAAAGAGATTATGTTCTGAAGACTGAAAATCAGAGGTTAGGCTTTGAAGATTACAGAAGAACAAATTAAAGATCTGTGAGGAGATATCAGACTTTTGGGTTACATTTCTTCATTGAGGGAACCGAGTGTACTGAAGTGTTACAGTAGGGCTTTGCAGGGCCTGGTGTGTAACTCAGTTGCAACAGAGTACTTTGTCGATAAGTTATACCTGAGAGTTTTCCTGACGTATATGCAGTTTAAAGCCTAACATACTGCAATTCTTTTTAAAGTGTAAATATTTACCTCAATTTAGGTATGTGGTCTTTTCCCCTGTTTTGTGTGTTTGCTCTTGTTCAGTTTAAAAAGCAAACTATCTCATGCCAGTCAATTTTACTTCAACTATAAATCCAGGCCTGAGTGGGCTTATACCCTCAAATCAAGTTTTCTCTTTTTAATTTCTGCTGGGACCCCCCGGTACAGTGTGGTAACATGGGTAATCTCACTGTCATGGAAAGGAAGATTCCTATGAGGTGGTAGCTAGCCCCCAGGAAATCCATTACAGATGTATTCTCTTGATATTAATAATAAGAAATACTAAAATTCTCTTTCAGAACTACTGGGAGCATATTAGTTGTATGACATAAAGCAATATTACCCATGCTCTTGAGCAGAGTCAGTAACACTGCCATTTGGACAAAGAGGAACGGAGGAGAACCCACTTGATATTTATGTGTATGTAAACAAGCCAAATTTGGGGGGGGATATTAAAAAAGTGGACAGAAAATGAGAATACACGCGACATCAGAATAAATGCACTGTTTGAAGAAAACAATATGCTATGAAAAGGCTTTGTGTATATTAACAGTGGGAAAATACAAGACAAATTTAGGAGGCAGGGAAATTTAAGAGAGAGAAAAACTACAAGAAAAAGAACAAAAATTAAAGAAAATACATTAAGACTTCCTTTAGGACTACTCAGTATTAGTAGTCCAACCTAAGTATCTCATCAAAGGTCTTTGAATTGAATTTCTGGATGGATTTTCATCAAGTATTCATAAAGGAGTTCACTGATAAAAAAGTGAATCAGTGAAATATTTGGTTGTTTCTCACCTATTTCCCCTATTCATCTTTTTTCACACAACTACTAAGTATTTTCTCTTCTTACAGTAGCATTTAAATGATTTTATTGTTAATGAAACACTGTCACAGATGAGAGATCTCTGTACTAAGGAAAAACAAAGACATCTTTTGTTTTTACCAAGGGTCACCAGCTCGTTCTGCTAAAATTAACCCATACTTCCCAAAGCCTCACATGACCTATTTTTCTGACCATCCACTGCCACCACCTTGAGAAACCACAAATTCAGTCCTCAGAGGAGCGGTTTATTTTCACAATTGCTAATGCAAAGTTACTTCTAAAAGAAAAAAAAAAGTTTCATATCTGAAGCCTGAAAATATTTTTTCAAGTGCTTTGAGCTGTTCAACTCATGCCCAGTTGTTTATTCTGTACTAAAACTGCAGGTCACCTAAAGATGTACAAGTTGAGCAGCTAACAGTGCAATCCTAAACAGATCTACTTAGCATCCTACTGAAACCTATTCATTGGGACTTACTTTCAGAAAAGTGTTCTTAGGATGGCCATCCTGACGAGAGTTACACACTTCTAAGTTAATCAAAGTCAACGGGCTTAGAAGGGTGTAACTCTGCTTAGGATGGCATTGTAATACCTACTTTGTCCATTTCAGAAAAAGGATACATTGAAGAATTCAGTTCTTCCAGCTGCAATATGAAGAAAGAGAGAAAAATGTCGTTAGGCTGCCGCTGATAAGTTGTGAAGATCACTCAGTTTCTATGGCAGATATTTAGTGATCATTGCAGAATTAAAGTCATAAACTGGTTAAATCACAGCTCAGAGCCAGACTGTAATATTTCCCCAAATTAGACATGGACAACACTGGACTCTCCTCCATAGCTTTGTCCACTCAGCCAGTTGTAGAAAAGTCTTAGCTCATCTACACTGGCTCCCATGTGTTTCCAATCCCAATTCAAGGTGCTGGTGTTGTCCTTCAAAGCCCTGTACAGCTTAGGAACAGCATACCAACTGCTTGACCACTAAGGTATTCTTTTGAGGTCCTGCTCTGTGATTTCTTCTACCTGCCCTATGTCTTAATTACAGTTTTAGGTGCTTTTAATATATATTTTAATTTTGGTTTTAGTTGTTTATTTTTATGTTTGGTTTAATGTTAGCTGCCTTGGTGGCCCTGATTGGCAGGTTTTGTGAAAAACAAAATAAATGTTTAATTTAAAACTCTAAAACTAACCAGTAGTGAATGTTACAACTCTTTTTCAGACCTTTCCATTCTTGCCTGATTTTTTTGTATGCAGATCTAGCTATGTAGGGACTCTGTCTTCCCTCTATATTGATACTTACATCTGACAGCAATCTATCCAGGTTGGAATCACTGGCTACTTTTCTCTTGTCTTCAGGGAGTTCTTCCAACTCTCCATAAAGCTCCAAATTCAGACGTGCCAGCTTCTCCTGCATCCCTCGCACATGCTCCATTTGCTCAATAGAACATTCATTTCCTGAAGCAATCAAAGTGCAGAATTACTCAGACGTCTGACAGTGATCAAAGAAACCAACTCTGCCACTTGCATCAAAATGGAAGAGGGTTTGCCCAGAAAAAATCACATCAGTGTATTCACTCAGGTTCCTCTTTAACCATAAAAATGAATGCAGATAATATAGTATTTTAATGCAAGGCGGGCCTTCTGCCTTTTTAATTCATTCCTGTTATTACTTCAAACTGTCGATATCTGTTACACAATTAGTGATTTAAGTTCAGACAGGAAGGAATTTGAATAGGTACAACTAATGCACATTCCAACTTTATCCCATCCCTCATCGTATGTATGTGTGTGTGTGTAAAGTGCTGTCAAGTCGCAGCTGACTGATGGCAACCCAGTAGGGTATTCAAGGCAAGAGATGTTCAGAGGTGGTTTATCATCGCCTGCCTCTGCATCATTATGACCCTGGTTTTCCTTGGTGGTCTCCCATCCAAATACTGACCAGTGCATTTGCATTAAGACTGTCTTCTAAAGCTTTTCACGATCATCCTAATCTTTCCTCTTTAAACTTGTATTTCCTCAGGTATTGCTAAGTGATCTGCCCACTCGCCAACAATCCCTAGGCCTTCTTACATTTTTGCACTCACTTTTGGGCCTTAAAGTGATCTACGTAAACCATCCACCTCTGTCTGATGGATTAAGTATTATGACACAAGGACAAGTCAGAAGGAAAACGATTTAAGTCTGTGTGGGAGTGTAAAGACCAAACTACAGATATAATATTATTTTCCCTGAGAGGAAGAGTTTTGTGTTTTTTTTAAAACACCCTAAGTGTAGCCACAGAGATGGGAAACAAGGGGAATATCTGTGCATTAGGGGGTAGGCGGTCTTAAATTTAACTCTGATTATAAGGATTTGTGAAGACCCAAGCACAGCAAAACACCAGAGTATTCAGACAGCCCAGAAAGAATTAAGATCATCACAAAATAGCTCTGCCCTGCTCTACCACATAACCAACAATCTTTTTACAATTCTCCTCGTAACATCCAGGTCTCAGTATTTACACAAAGTTATGATAGATGCCATAACCAGCACAACTACTCTAGAGACCCAATATTTATTTATTTATTTATTTATTTATTTTTGGGATTTATATCCCTCCCTACCCAAGCGGCTCAGGGCGGCTAACAGGCGGCAATGCCGGATTAAAAGTAAAATACAATAAAACATACAGTAAAACATTATTGCATACAATAAAAAGGTGCTCTGCGAATCTCTAAAACTCCCCAAGATGTACGATATCCCACATTGGCGGCCAGCGTTATTAATAGCGTGAGCGCCAGGAACGATATTTCCCCATTTCTGCCGGGCGACATCTACCCCCCACCCAATGATAGGGGTAGATGATCAGATCGTATCACGGTGGTGGAATAGTGGCGGTGGCGACTCCTACTCAAAAGCCTGGCGGAAGAGCTCCATCTTACAGGCCCTGCGGAACTGTATAAGGTCCCGCAGGGCCCGGATATATAGCACATTTGCTCTCACATTACAGGGTATTTAATTAATTCACTTAGAAAATTTACATGCTGCCTCTCTGGAGAGCCTGAAACACAACAGTAACCTATGCAAATATGAAAAGCCCATTCATGTCACCAGTAAGTGTAATAACACAACTAACAACAATCCTCTATAACACAATGTGAACACCGAGCAGTCAAGGTGGGGTGAATGTCTGTGGTACAAGCTGGGACCCACATATCGTGAAAGACGGTCTCTCCTGCTTTGCTCTTCTCAAGGTTTGTTACCACCCCATCCCTCTATGCTATGCTAACATCTTTTAATACTACTGTCCCCATGGCCCACAAACTCATTCTATCTTAAGAGATTGCCACCTCATATGTGAGATTTCAGAGAACTGGGTGAAATACATATTTGTGTTTCAATGAACAAGTAGCTTGGGAGAACAGGAAGGGGCCACAAAATTACCAAATGCTTGAAGTTTGCCAGAGTGGAAGTCATTCAGAAGATTCAGAAGCCCTTTCTCCATCTCTTGAACATCTGATACATCTGTAAGAAACGAGTGCTGGATTGGAGCTGACTGTGCTCCTTTGCTTTCTGCTCCGAGTGGTTTAGCTCTCTCTTTTATGCCTCTGAGGAGAAAACAGATATTATAAAATTATGATGAAAATGACTTTCTGTTCTCAAGCTTGTGGCTAAATCGAATAAATATATCAGAAAAGGCTTTACAATGAGAGACCACTACACACGCTCTGCGCAACACACAGTCAATCTGGGGGACGGTCAGGGCTAAACTCTGCTTTCACAATGGCAGAGCCTGGATAATGGCCCCACCATTGGGCTTCTCAGCTGTGCCATGGTCACATTTTGAACCACAGCTCAGCTGTGAAAAACAAAAGGGAGGCTGCCAGGTTTGGGTGTGTGTGTGTGTGATCATCAAAGCATCAGTGCCCCTGAGTGAACACAAAGAGGGGTGGGAGTGGGGACAGCAGCAAGCCGTATGTGGAATGCTGGATGTTGTCTCTGCCTGCCTCCACCTTGCTTACAGCTACTTCCTCAGAGGGGATGAATCTTTCTGCCCCCTTGTGGAAGTGGCCAATATTGTTTCAGAGAAGATTCAAAATGAATGGTACAGCCGACCTTGGAATTCTGAAAATGTGTAGCCCCCACAGCTAAACAAGTGCATATGAATCTAATTAAAATTATATTCTTCATGTAAGATACATGAAGTTTTGTTTGGGGAAAATATTGATTTCACATATCATTAACTTTAGTAATAGAGCTCAGGCATGGGATCAAAATAGTTCTGTTTACTCAGGTATTTGGCTCAAGTGGTTAAGACGCTGAACTGCAGGCTGTGTAAGGTCGGTAGTTCAGCAGTTCGAGACCTGAGTGTGCCGCATGACGGGGTGAGCTCTCGTCTCTAGTTCCAGCTCCTGCCAACCTAGCAGTTCGAAAGCAAGAAATTGCAAGTAGATAAATAGGTACCACTTTAGTGGGAAGGTAACAGCGTTCCGTGCGCCTTGGTGTTTAGTCATGCCCGCCACATGACCACGGAAATGTCTTCGGACAGCGCTGGCTCTTTGGCTTTGAAATGGAGATGAGCACCGCAACCCTAGAGTCGGATTCGACTGGCTTTCGAGCAAGAGAACCTTTACCTTTTTATATATCTAATAACCAAGGCGCCTCCTGCATGCGGATATCTAAATCCGCACATCGGGGGCACCTAGGGGACAAAGGGATTTTCCTGCACATTTGGGGCAACCCCCAGATGTGCAGAAAAATCTGAAATCTATAAAAAACTTAAATCCCCCCAAAAGGAAAAGAGCATTCCCTGCGCAGGGAACGCACTTACCACTAGACACTGTAGCAGAGCCATTGTTGCTGGTGCACCGGCGGCTGGGAGCTGTGGCCATTGCTGGGGGGGGGGAGCCTGGTCTGGCTGGCAGCTAGGAGCCACACAGGGCTTGCTGCCATTGCTGTTGGCAGCGGCACCAGGAGCAGGAGGAAGAGAGGGAGAAGCCTTGGAGGGCTAGTGGCTAGAGCCACGGATGTTGTTGCTGTTGGGGGGGGGGAAGCCCGGCAGCCTGGAGCCGCACAGGGCTCACTGCTGTTGCTGCTGGTGGTTGCGGTGGTGAGGGGGAGAATCCTTGGAGGGCCGGTGGCTAGAGCCACGGCTGTTGCTGCTGTCGGGTGTGGGGAGGAAGCCTGGCGAGCCCAGCGGACCGCCTGCTGGGCTCACCTGTGGCTGCCACCGCCACCTCCTCCTCTATGCTTCAGGAAGCCAGCCACCCGGGAGCCACGGGGAATACTCCCCCCCTCAAGTATCGCAGGTCCCGCTTCTTGTATTGTTCTATTCTCCTGGGTTTTTTAACCGTTCCAGGTTGGAAGTCGGACTGCTTCTGTTACTGTTATTTTAGAGGCTTTTAGGTTGTATGCTTCCATATATCCTTGGAAGCCTTGCTGCAGAAAGGTAATTGATTAGTTACAATAATGCAGTTCTAATGGAGTCTATTATTTAAAACCCTTATTGATTTGAATCACCCAGTATTCCATCCTCCTTGGAAACTGCAGCCCTCAAATTTGTAGGTTTGCCATCTGTTCCTTAGTTCAATGAACTATTCCTGGTTTAACTATTTCAGAAATATGTGTAGAAAAGGAAGAGGTGCTCCAAAACTGCAAAACCGACTTTAGAATATACCATTCTTATACTATTACTATATTAATAAAGTACTTCTAATATTCTGATACACGTGAAACGTCATTTTCTTATGGCTTCACAATGTGTTCTTTATACTGGCCCTGTTCAATTCGGTAGGCTTGGATTGCAGGCAACACCTGAGCATCTTACCTTTTCAGCTTTGGTTTCTGCAAAGGCGGCTGTGGTGCAGGGTTTGAAAAGGCAGTACTTTTACTAGGAGGCAAAGAACTTTTCTTACTGTTGACCACCTGAGTGACATGAGTGCTGGATGTTTTGGGACTCCTCCTTTTGGTTTTTCTTTCTTCCATTCCACAGTTGGTGCTACAGCAAATGTGTTTCTGCATGGGGGGTGGGTGGGAATAAAAGAATATCTGTGTCCATGAAAAGGAAAGTTAAACAACAACAACAACAAAAAGGTATAAATATCAGAAACCAAAAGGGTTTCAAGAACTCCATGGATACTTTGAAAGCCCACTTGATCAGCACTTTAACAGCCTGAGATTGTGTGTGTTTACTCAGAAATAGTCTTTAAAAGTTTAAGGAGTCTTACTCCCCAGTAAGCATGGATAAAACTGCAGACTTAGTAGTGCAAACTCTTTGGGTAGTTAATACCTCTATAGGGAGCTCCTTTAAAGGTGTCTTCCAAAAAATAGCCCATCAGCTAGTATTTTCAGTTGAAGGAGGAAAAATAAGGCACTAGACTTTCATGTAAAAAATATGCCAATGTTTTAAAATGTTAAATAACAGATGACTCTGGAACAAAATATCATGAAAGATGGAAATCCTGGTAATTAATTTGACTGGAATTGCATCACAGTGAATCAAGGCTGCAATGCTATGCACACTTACCTGGGAGTATGTGCCATTTAACAAAATCGGAATTACTTCTCAGTAAACACATATAGGCCAAATTGTGCATTTCTAAATACAAATTATCAAAGTATTGCAGAAAGACAAAATGTAAAAAAGCAATTTAACAGCACTCCCCATCTGGCTAGCAGAATTTTACATCTGATTAACAGTATTAACACTGCATTTTTCAGATCTTATCAAAGTTAATTTGTAGAAGCAATTAATTGCAAATAAAAATTCAAGAACTGGTTAAAATGAGCTATCAGTGCCTGATAATTGTGTATAGTCAAATTGCTGGTTTCAGGGTAAGAACAGAAGGGGCCAGAGAAAAAAAATTACAAAACTGACACAGATTTTCCCAAAATATCTGCAAGCAGTAGCTAATCTGATTTACAGTTTATATTTATAGTCAACAGAATTACATCCTTTCAAGAAGAAATGCTGAGATTCCTTTTTGCTGTCTTCAAAGTATTTAATTGCCAAATGTAATTTGCAGAATATGCGAAAAAACCCCCCCCCCGAACATACCCAGAATGAAACTTTGAATAAACCAGAATAAAACTTGGTCTTAAAGGTGGCTCTGGACCAGTGTTCCCTCTAAGCTTCAAGGTCTTGTGAGCAAAAATGCTACTTTGTGAGCGACTGGCATTAAAGTTGCAAGCAAGTGGTTTGGCTCCTGCATAAATGAATCTGCTCTGGAGCCATCCTTCCTGAGTCGAGGCAAAAAAACGGTGAGCTAGCTCACACAAACTCAGCTTAGAGGGAACACTGCTTTGGACTCAAATTTTTTCTGCTGCTTCAGACCAATACAGCTACCCACCTGAATCTATAATTTACTGATGTTGGGAGTTTGTTGCTACACCTTTAGGTTTATAGGCAGTAGGTTCGGCCAGACAAAATAAGGCACTGCTGCACACAAATGCATGGTGTAGTGGTTAGCATGTTGGACTAGTATCTGAGAGACCCAGATTCAAATCCCCAATCTGCCATGGAAGCATGCTGGGTGACTTTGACAGACAGAAGGGAAAAGCAGCCACTCAGCTGAGCCCATGGGAGCGCTGCTCCAGTATTCAATCACCTTACAGAACAGAGATGGGATGTTGGAGGGAAGCACAACAGGGGTTTAGTTCAGTTCAGATCTGCCTCAGGGAGAGGGGAGTGACTGTCTGGGTCTGTCCCAGTAAAACAGTTTGAAGGGTAGCTCTGCTTGGTAGTGTGGCAGAGTGGTTTAGCTTTACCTCTGGAAGAGAACAGAGTACCCAATTGTTAGGCCTGTCTCTGGCAATGAGCAGACCTTGTGCCATTTCGTCTGACTCTTGGGAAAGGGCAGGCTGGTGTGGGTGGAATCCTTTATGTGAGAGAGGATCCAACCTAGTGGATAGTCAGTCAAAGCCTGTTCGGGGCTGAAAGCACTGAATAAAATTTAAATCACACTCTGAAGCCATAACTAACTTAAATGCATGTACTTCAGCCAGATTTCTCCTCGGACTATCTGGGGACTCAGGCTGCTGATCTGTTCTTTCAAACCAACCTGCAAATAAATAAATTGTCTGTGTTTATATACAATTCCTGCTTCAGTGACCTCCATATTCTAGTTGCTCACCATAAAACTTATCTCACAACAGTGAACTCAAAGCCTTTAGAATTTGCTGCCTTTAGAATACTTGGTAACTGAGGGGACGGGTAATAGTTTAAAACAAACCTAGTTCCTCAAAATCATAGGAGGCTGTGTGGGTTCCTTCAGTTGGCAGAAAAGGCCTCTCACAGTAACCTTAGGCCAGTCATACACTGTTCATCAAACCTACTTCACAGAGTTGTTGTGAGGGCAAGATAGAGGAGAGGAGAATAATGTACACTGCTTTGTATCCCCCTGGAGAGAAAAATCAGTATATACCCTGGCTTCAGCTGGGAGGGAGGGTAGAAATTTGAGGAATAAATAAATAAATATAATTGAAAAAATAAGCACATGGAATCCACTGTCACAAAATGTTAGCAGAGTTGGTAGATTCAAAAGGTGATAAGACATGGTCATGGAACTAATTCAAATAGGTATTTTCATTATTTTTGGCAATCAAATACTGTGGAGGCAGCAAAAGAGAATATGAGAATCCTGATACGCCAACCATTTCTTAAAAAGAATTAACAAAGAACAATCAGAGCATACTTATCGACAAGCTAAGTATAAGCTTTAATTAAATCCACAGCTATATATTAATAGCCATTAGCCGTAATGGTTAAATGGACCTTCCTACGTTTAGTGGCAGAGTAGATTTCTGAATGCTAGGTGGCAGGGACGGGAAAACACAGGGGTAGGCTTTGCCTCTGCTGTGACCCTCTCGGATGGCGGCTATAGGAAAGAGGATGTCGGAATAGATGGGTCATTGGTCTGATTCAAAAGGACCTCTCTTATGCAACTGGCAGAAATAATGGTCCACGCGCCGCTCCTCTGACTTCCTACTGTTCTTCCCGGGGGAGGGGGGAAATCTTACCGATTAACAGAAAAATAAAAACCCCGAGAAATATTACCCACCTTTACCTGCGGCTTCACATTTGTCCAATCTACAGCAACTGCGCCCTCATATTTACGGAAACAATTCACATTCGTCACATGCCTATTTGAAAGGCCTCGTTAATAAATGTCAGTATCACATGACGGAAGGAGAGCGCTTGTGGGACTTGTAGTGCAATTCCGGCCGAACTGAGAGGTTTTCAGTAGGACAAAACTACAACTCCTACAATCCACCACGGTAAGGGAACGGAACAAGTGGCGTTCTTTTGTGAACGAACTGAGAAAGGGAAGGAGAAACCGAAAAATACGGTTTGCTGCCGCCACTCTTTTAAATAATACCGCACGCCCTACAGGCTTACTAGAAACCCCAGGATTCCCCATAGCAAGCTTAGGCCGGGTCTTCGGGGAAGAAAAGGAATGGGCAGGAGCGATTCCTCTGAAAGCTGCTTTATTTATTATTTATATTATTTATATTGATAGGGTGCTTTATTTTTCTTTATAGCAATTTATTATTGGGGCGGAATTTGAAACGGTGCCAGGTATGAAAAGGATGGGCGGGTTTAGATACGAATGCAAGTTTAATGAATGGAAAAAGCGCGCCATCGAAGTGAATATCAGATGATGTTGCTACACTTTTAAACAATATTTTTCATTAGCTAAACAAAAATAACTGTTTAGTTAATAAGCATAATACATATTCTAATATATTTACTGGTAGCTGAACACTAGATAACAATTCATTATTATCATTATTTAAACTTCTTGTGTTGTTTAGTTAGTAGTGTATTATCAGAACACTACAAAGTGTTTAGTCTAATAGTCTTCGTGAGCCAGCCGAGGCAATAGCGACTGACAGGGAATTCAATAGGCTCTGTGCTCAAATCTTGCCCGGAAGAAACTCCCGCAGAAGTGCAGCGCGGTTGAGAAGAGACAAAGGCTGCTGCTCTGCTGGCACTTCCCTTGCCACCTTTCCCAGAGGACATTCTTCCCCATTCCGGTGTCCCAGCCTCAACCTGGTGCCATTTGCTGGAGACTAGGGCCTGTAAGGAAATAATATTCTCTATCATCCCTGCCCCCCCCCACCCCAGTCCTAATATAAATCTGGCCTACACATGTGACAGAATGAGATGGTAGATTGGATTGTTTCCATTCAGACTGCAAGGCAGGGAATCACTTTTTAAAAAAATAGTTCTCTGCATATAAAACTTGCATAGTAAGTAATGTCAAAGCTGGGACCTTTCTCTTCTTTGTATTAATTAGATGCAGTCCAGAAAGAGTTAAAGACATTTTTGCCCTATTTTGCCACATAATCAACTACTACTCATACAATTCTCCCAATAACATCCAGGTCTCAGTAGTCACACAGTTATTATCAGTAATAGTTAATATTTATTGTGGTGGAGTATTCAAAACCAACATCCACCACCTACAGCCTGAAGTGTTATAGCACATTCTTCAACCTCTTTCAGCTGCATGTGCTACCATCTCATTTGATAGTGCAATGTATAGTTGTTTGAGGGTTGGTGGTTGAGTGTTCCTTCGGATTATTTTGCATGTCTAGTAAACTGCTGCTTTGGCTGACTTCCTGCTTTAAAAAATAGAAAGCTTTTTTGCTGTGATGTTTTGACAATATCCTTCCCCCCCACTTTGTGATGGCCCTGTGGTTTATATTGTGCATGTCTTGCTGACAGTTCTTGGGACGTGCAGCACTGGAAACTTGCTGGACCAGTTGGATGACTGTTGTGTGGGATAGGTCACAAAGGACAGGCTTAAGTATCAGAAAAAATCAGCATCTATCCGTGCAGGTATTGGTGTGCTGGTAAATGAGGAGGGAGACACAAGCTGTGCTTGACCACACATGGTGGGATCAAGCCGAGTCTCAGCAGTACTGCCATTACATCAGGGGCTAGTGGAGAGGGCGGTGACAGAGCAACTCCAGGTTTTCTTGGATGACGCCGCTATCCTGGATCCCTTCCAGTCTGGCTTTCGCCCAGGCCACAGGATGGAGACTGCACTGGTCGTCCTCATGGATGACCTTTGGAGACCCCTGGATTGAGGCAGGTTGGTGCGGCTGTTGCTTCTTGACTTAACAGCAGCATTCGACATGGTCGACCATGATCTCTTGGCCCACTGCCTCACCAGCGTTGGAATATGGGGTACTGCCTTACAATGGCCCTCCTCCTTTCTTTATGGATGGGGACAGAGGGTGGAGCTTGGGGAGGAGTTGTCCCAGTGACATCCACTAATATGTGGTGTGCCGCAGGGGGCTATCCTCTCCCTGATGCTGTTTAACATCTATATGCGCCCCCTCGCCCATCTGGCCCAGAGGTATAGACTGGGTTGTCATCAATATGCTGATGATACCCAGCTCTGTCTGTTGATGGACAGACAGATGGACTCCACTTCGAAGGTATTGAACAGGACATTACAGGCTGTGACTGGATGGTTTCAACAGAGCTGACTGAAACTGAATCCAATGAAGACAGAAGTCCTGTACTTAGGCCATGGGAATCTGGGATCGGGAATCCAACTCCCAGCCCTTTCGCAGAGGATGAAGAGTTTAGGGGTGGTTCTGGATGCTTCCCTTTCCATGGAGGACCGGGTTTGCACTGTTGCTTGATCAGCCTTTTATCACCTCCAGCTGGTCAAGCAACTGGTTCCCTATCACTTCTCAGGACTTGGCTACATTGACCTATACAATGGTCACTATCAGATTGGATTACTGTAACTTGCTCTATACGGGGCTACCCTTGTAGTTGACCCGGAAACTGCAGCTAGTGCAGCATGCAGCAGCACGCGTGTTGATGGCGATGTCTGTGTGAGCGCACATTCAGCCCATGCTGCGCCAACTACACTGGCTGCCAATAGAGTACCAGGTCCAGTACAAGGTTTTGGTGCTAACCTTCAAAGCTGTATGCGACCAGGGACCTGCATATCTTCAGGACCACCTCCCCCTATATGTGCCCCACAAAGCCTTGTGCTCCAGTGATCGACATCTTTTAGCTGTCCCGGGCCCGAAGGATGTCCGATTAGCCTCAACCACGGTCGGGGTTTTTTGGTTCTGGCCCCTGCCTGGTGGAACAGGCTCCAACTTGAGATCAGGGTCCTGTGCAATCTTTTCCAATTCTGCGGGGTCTGTAAAACGGAGCTGTTCTGCAAGGCTTTCAGTTGAGGCATTGGATGTCGAAATCTATCTTGGTCTCCCCTGCTGACAGCGCTGATTTTCTTAATCTAGCGAACTATCCAGCTGCGCCACTCTGAAACGCTTCCATCTGAGCTTTGTTACCAAGGCAAGTTCACTCCGGTTTGCTGCATGGTCGTTTTAAATCGGAATTTTATTGTTACATTTCTATTTATTGTTATTTTAGACACCATCTTTATGTGACTTTGTAACCCGGCCTGAGCCTGCTTGGTGGGGAGGGTAGGATAGAAATGGAATAAATAAACAAACAAACAAATAGCCTTGAACACTGTAAAGATTGTTTGAGTCTGGGAGGTGATATCAGGTATAAGCCATACCTGTTGCCTTTTCCAGCACTGGCAGCCCCATAGGCATGTCCAATGCCTCAAGAACTTGCCTTACTTGCCTGGGTGGAGAACTGGGTGTGCCACAGAAAATGGACTAGCATGTCACTGGTCAACATGTGTGCTCACCTCTACCTTAAAGCTAGGCTGTGTGAGAATGCATTGGAGACACTTCTTTCCCTTTCCTTTGTCCAATAAAAGCTCTATGGCTCAGTGCTTTCAGCAGTATAACAATCTGAAATTTCAACTGTAATCTGTTTATTTCCCAAAAGACAGAAGGAGTACAATTTTTTTGCAACATCCAAAGTTATATTTAGAGTTTGATCTGAGAGTAGGTTGGAATATAAGGGACATTCCAATAGAATATGAGAAATTGTATCTATTTTACCAAGGGAGCAAAAGCAAATTCTGCCAGAGTAGGGAAGATGCAAAAAGCAGCCTCTCATAACTATTTTTAAATGGCAACACTTCTATTTTTATTTATTTTAGTTGGGGGTGTGTGTTGCATTTTGTATGTGTTTGTGCCTGTGCCTGGAAGTCATGGCAACCTCTGGCGACGCCTACTGGGGCATGGAGGATGTTCAGAGAAATGGCTTGATAGCCTGTCTCTGCCTCCCGGCCCTGGTATTCTTTGGAGGTCTCCAATCCAAATACTTGCCAGGGTCAGCCCTACTTAGCTTCCAAAAGCTGATGAGATTGGGCTTCCCTGGGCTATCCAGGTCAGGGCATGACACTTCTGTTACATGAGTTGAGCAATTAGTGGCTACCACCTGAGGGAGAGAAAGCAGTGAGTATTCCAATATTATTTTCTGACAAAGTAGGAATTCTTCTCATTACTTATATTTATATATTTGATTTATAATTTTATTAATAAATGCTATGATACAGATCATGCTTCACAGAGTTCCACAAACAAAAAGACACGTTGCTGCCTCTATAGTGTTTACAATCAAAACATTGATGGTAGGATGACAAAGGAAAGTAAGTTAGAGGCAAGAACAAGGATGTCAAGGGATGGATGGGAAAAGGCAGTTATACTTATAATTGGGGTTTGGATAAGGGGTTAAAACAGAGGCTTTATGGGTAAGATTTATTTAATTGTGTAAAAGATTCCTACCTCACCTTCCCATTATTTAGGTCTTCGGGACAATTTACAAATCAGATCTGACACAGTTGCCTTTTGTCTGGGCAAAACAGGCTTTCACCTGTAGATTTCCCAATCTGGAAAAGACTTTCTTGCTGTACACCTGATATCCAAACTATAGGATAGGGTTGCCAGCCTCCACCTGTGGCCAGGCATTTACCTGAAGTTATAACTGATCACCAGACTTCATAGATCAGTTTCCCTGGAGAAAATGGCAGATTTGGAGGGTAGACATTATGGGATCACATGCTGGCAGAGCTCACTCCCTCACTCAAATTCTTCTCTCACAACTACTGCCCCAAATCTCCAGGAATTTCCCGAGCTGGAGTTGGCAATCCTAACCATAGGGCATGTAGCACTAGTAGGCAGGTAATAGTAAGACAAAATGTAAGCTGTTCCCAGAAGACTCCACTCCTTGAACCAAACTGGGAGGAGAGCAGATGAAAACGTGAAGGTTGGGCAGGTCTAGATTGTTCCT